ATGAAAATTTCACAGGAGTGTTCAATGTACCTACCTACTCGGAAGTTCGAAAATAAAATCGTCGAATTACAATCATAAATGTAGTCTAAACAAAAGCTCTCAAGTGCTCTTATCTCCCTTTTTAATTTATTTTACGGTAGCCTAAATAAATATTGCAAGTGATAAAGGTACAACTCTTTATTTATAAAAGCAACACCTTTTAAATATTATTCTCAGGGGAATCTGCCTTACGAATGAATAGTTAAGACTATTACAAAAGTAATTTGCTTACCTAAGAAATAAATATCTATTATTTGACTTTGAGTTTGAGAAGATCCTAAAGACTCGCATTCTTATATAGTGACGTGACGATACGTATGATCACAGACCAATAATTACGTAGAAGTAGAAGCATGTAGAAGTGTGTAGTTTGCGTGACGTTATGTGCCAACAATACGCGAAGTTCCACATACTTAAGCTCAATCTTTCATTTGCTTTGTAAGTTAGGGTTGCGTCATTTATCTGGCGCAAAACCTCGAAAATATTAGAAAAACGCCTTATTTTGCTACTTTGGAATTAGTAGAACGTGAGCAAAACCTTGAGTGTTCAAGGCTCTGCAGCTTCACATCTACTCCGTAAAGTTGCCTGCTTATCGGTATTCTACAAGATATATCACGAAGAGAGTGTGCTAGGGAATTGCATTAATTCCGCCTTCCCCTTTCCATTGTTGGTGGACAAGACGTAGGTTAGGGTTCTCCCCCCATTCTGTGAATATTCCAAGGAATCGCACAAAACGCTTTGCTTCCACATTTATATTTGGCTTGGCTATGGCTATGGCTTGGGTTCCACCTCTATGTTGTGGATATTCCAAAGATTCGCACGAAGCGTTACGCTTCCACATTTATATGGCGAACGGCCATGGAGTGGAATTCCCTGGCTGCAGACTTGTTCCCTGAACTGTATAACTTAGGCCTGTTCAAAGAGAAGTGAATAGGCATTATTTAGGTGTGCTTGCTCCATCATCGACTTTATCGTCATTTTCCATCAGATGAGATGGAAATCAAATGCGCAATTACTTTTTAATAAAAAAAATATTAAAATTATAACTTGCAATAATAGGAATAGAACTTTCAACAATATGCAACAGGGCAAAGTTTAATTTTATAGTCTAGAATTTGTTACTTCTTTTTAAATTAGAATTTTAATCAAATAAATTTAATTTCTTTTTAAATTATTATCAAGATTTCAAATTATGAACGTGTGACATGTGGCGACAGCGGTTCTGATAGTAATCGATGTTTAAAACGCTTATTACGTAGTGTTTACATATTTCAAGGGACCCTACCCTACCGACTAATATCTAACATAGGAAGGTGTAATAAAGATTAGGGAATTAGGGCGGGCGCGTCCCCATTACGTCGTGACGACAGATAGTCGTGCAGTTTAAAATGTCGTCTAATTTGTGGTCTCGACTGTCTTACTACTACACCACAAATTAGAAAGATCGAGACAATGGAAAGAGCTAGAACGACAGTCGTCATAAGATAAATAACCAACTTCAAAAAAAGGAGGAGGTTCCCAATTCGTCTGTATGTTTTTTTATCTATGTATGTTACGCGATAACTCCGGTATTTGTGAACTCCGATTTTGATGATTATTTTTTTGTTGGAAAGAGATTATTTACATCACCGGTTTTTTTTTCAACAATATAATGCAACAAATATACAACATTTTTGTGGGATAATAAACACACACAATATATTTTTTATTTCATAGCACTGTAGATTCAATGTTAATTTAACTGTAATAGCAGGTCCGATTCATTTAACAGCAGAAACAGAAAATACAAGACATTCGTTTTTATTATTTTATAAATTAATTTTATATATTTACAAAACATTTAAATTATTAAATTTTATGTTTTTTAAACAAAGAGTACACGAAAAAATATGTCGAAATAAAAGCGATGTTTTTTGGAACGAAATCGCTACTGTCAATGTCAAATGTCAAGTCAAATGTACTTTGATTGAAATGTCAAGTGTACTTTGATTTTGTCAATTGTGTGTCAATGTTTGTGTTGCTAATTTATGGAGAATTTCCCGAATTGCGGGGAATTTCAACTATATTGGGGATTTTGTGGGAATTGGTGCTATGTGGGGAAAAATGTGGGGATTCTAACAAAAAAAGTGTGCAAAACTGCCCCGCTACCCCCTATCAATGTGTCTTTCAACATCGCACATCTCTCGCATTATTAACAAGCAGCTTAAGTTTTTTTTTTTTTTTTTTTTAATTTATTTCCAATCAACTAGTAGAATTATTATCAGAACACTTGGTTCTGAATTGTAAAATTACCAGTCGGTGCGTGTTGAGTTCGGGATCCCTTCTCCCGCTTAGGCTGGTCCGGTATAAAGAAAAACGATATCGGCTATTGATAAATAACGCCGAGCAGTTAATACTTCCACACCACAACTTACCACTCGTCAACTTTAAATAAATAAAATAATAAATAAATAACGCACACACTCAACATAGCCCAGCACTAGGGAAACCCTGTGTCGCGGGTGCCATGGACACACATATAGACAACCACAAATTACACCCAAACTCACGAGAGAAATAATTGTAGGCCATACAACTATTTCTCTCGGCCCGGGAATCGAACCTGGGACCTCTGCGTGGCAGTCCGGCATGGTAACCGTTCGGCCACGGAGGCAGTTAAATAGGTATTAAGTATATATAGATCGAGACTTAATTTTCTCATTGAATATTTCTAACCTTAACATAGTGTCACCAAATGCGCAGCAAATAATTTAAGTTAGGTACTTAGTTTTGTAAGGCAATGAAAAATTTTTTTAAGGACTAAACGATTTAAGGTCTTCTAATTTTACAATTTGCTTTTCATTTTAGGTTCTGTTTACATTCACAACTAACGTAATAGATGGGTACATTTCGAGTTTCTTAATTCTTTAGTATATTTTTAAACGATGAATTTGTAATAAATAATGAAACTTGTTGCTCTCCCCAAATTTGGGAATTTTAACCGTGATTTTTGGGGATTTTGAACAATTGGCATTGGCAACGCTGGTCAATGTGTCAATGTCAGACGGAGGTTGACAGAGGTCGTGTTGTGTCGTGTTTTCAAAGAAGTAGTTCTATGTCGAAATCATGTCTAAATTTCAAAATAGAATAAAACTATGATCTCATTTATTAACTCGAGTGTTCATCGATTAAAATAGTGTAAATTACACCAATCGTCGTAGTGGAAATTGGCAAAAATGCAGCAGTCACCTTTTGAGAACATTTTAAACATAATAGGCGGCTTATCTGAAGGAAATGAGAAGCCTATGAAACATGGATTTTACAATGCTTTTGCGCTTTTCATTCTGGCGATATGCTGTGCTGCAGTTTATGTACTATTTTTGATATTAGAACCATTTTTTAAGCCTTTATTTTGGGCTCTACTTGTGGGGTCTCTACTGCACCCGTTTAAGTATAAACTATCGAATAAATTAAAGTCATGGTTCGAAAATTTGGAGAAGACGAACACGTCTGTGGTTTTTGGTTTGATGGTGATACCAGTGAATATTGTAAATCAAGCATCTGATAAAGTCGGGCATCAGTTTAAAGAGCATTATAAGGTGATTTTATAGTGATATGAAAAGTACAAGTTGTGTTCATATTACATTGTATTTGTTCTAAATTTATAATGATTTACCTAACATGTCATTACCCTTCTTGGGCTTTACCTTAAAAAGCAAACTCTGACCCTGTGGTGGAGACAAAATGGACAAAGTTAAGCAAAAAGGATTTGATCCACAAAATTATCAAATAATGATTTATATGTACCAAACGGTTCCTAAAGTCTGACCTCTTAGATCAGCATAAAAATCCAACATTTAAAAATAAATAAATATCTCTGGAGTTACATGACATTATAAGTTTTGAAAATAAAACAAGAGTGAGAAACACTTTTAAACTTTGAATTGTCATATCTCAAAAGTGACTGGATGTGCATTGGATCCTTTTTGTTTAACAATGTCTGATTACTCAATAGTTTTTATAACACATTTAATTATTATACTTTGCCTGCAAGTAAAAAATAATTTATTTAAAATTATTCTACAAATTTCATATTTAGCATAGGACTTGAGAAAATGTAAGATAAATCGATTTTGTAACTCTCATATTTCATGGAGCATTTGAGGAAATAAATAAGACGGGCATGGATTATGAAACCAAGACAAATAAATCACAAAAGGCTTAAACATGCCAACAGCAGCTAGAGCTTATTGAAATTTTCCTTATTGAAGCCTTAAGTGCCCTGATAGCTGCTTCCACCAAAGAATAATCTTAGACGTCTAAAGACAAAACACTGCTAGCATACTGAGTACAAAGACCCAGGACCAACATGAAATTTTTTATGTTTAACTAGATGAGTTGAAGGTAGAAAATGTCTTTCTATTTTTCTTTTCTTAGAAAAGCATAGAAAAATTAACAAAAAATTAATGAAAAGTTTTTTGGTGAGTAAGAAATGTGGATGGATGCAAAAGTTATGATGCAAAGTAGTGTGCATGGGTAAATGTGGTATGCGTGTGAATGTGTGTATGTGTATGCATTTGTGTGTTGGTGTATGTGAGAGAAAGAGAGTGGATGTATTTGTGGGTATGGGGTGGCAGGGCATGCATTAACGTTTTTATATATTAAGAATGTTTGTTGTTGTATTTCCAAAATCTTGCATCAATATTTTTTGTGTAGTTCATATTAACAAAATACCAGCACTTTTAATGGTGCCTCGTTATAGCAATACCATCCAAGCCGAAGCTGAGGTGAATCAAGTTCTGTAAAATTTTGAAACTTTTTAATTTGGTAGCAGAAGCTCTAATACAGATGCTTTATATGTATAATATATTTGATATTATAACCATATTAAATTTTACTGCCATGATATTAAATTATTTTTTGTGAAATTACTTCAATTGTTTATTATAATTATTGTTACAAAGATTAAACACAATAAACATACTTAGAAATAATGTAGACAAACTAAATACTGTTGTATTGATACTCTTCTTTTTGTATTGATGCCACACTATATTATTATGCCCTAGAACTCATTGCCACTACCTGTGTCACTGTGTAACTGCCATGCTTAAATGTGGAACATGTTTGCTATTGTGATGAGATTTGCCATTCGGCGTAGCGTACTCACCGAGTAGTACACCATTGCAAGGAGGCTCGTTTCGTGCACCCCACAGTCACACTGACTTGTCCTTATTAAATGTCTTCCATAAATAAAAAAAATAAAATAAAAAATAATGCAATGCTACAAAAATGCAAATCTATATTAATTTCTGTTAAAATTTAATTTACTTGAATATACTTGTTAATGTGCAAAACTTACCATTTCAGACAGTAATTGGCCTACTGTCAGCTATATTTGTCCTACCATGGCTGTACAACTCTGTGCCACGGAGCTTCTCCTGCCTCTTCTGGCAGTTCAACAGCTTCATCAGTTTCTCTACCACCATGCTTATCCAACTGTGCAGTTCTTATGTTGTAAGTATTTCATAATAATAATTCTTTAATACCTACTTTACTTTAAATGTATATACATGGTTTACTCATACTTTATATTTAATTTTTTATTTTAGTTTTTATGTATAGGTAACAAGTGTTCTCTGAAATTACTTTAATGAGATTAAATGACTCTCATTAATTATTATAAGACTAAATATTTTTAACTGACTTCAAAAAAGTATGAGGTGAGAACCTCATACAACTACTTTCAAGTGGATGTGTTTTTTTTGTGTGTATGTTACACGATTACTCTGTCGTTTGTAAACCGATTTTGATGATTCTTTTTTTTATTGCAAAGAGGGTACCTCAGTATCCGTCCTAGTTTTAATTTGAAGAATACATTCCACCTCTAAGGGTAATTCCTTAAAGCTTTGAGGTTGGTATTTTTTTATAAAAATGTTATAATTATCTTAACTGAAGGTCTTAATACTCACCTCTCACCTCTCACTTCTATGTAAATTAATGTCTTATTTTGTGAACTTGTGATAAAAATCATTAATTAATCCGTTTTCTCTTGCAGACTCTAACATTTGCTGTGGCCTATTTTATAAGTGTCTACATATTCTGGTCACCAGAACGAGCTGGCATATTTCGTGCTACATCACAGTTGTTATGGCTGATTATCATCAGTTTTCTAGCCAGTCTAACTGGATCCTTCCAAGTATACACATTTGTATTCCTTCAAGCAATTTGTTTCACTGGAATTGCACTTGAAGTTTTGGAAGTGCATAAAAAGTTATTGGAAAAAGGTAAAGTTATTTGAAAACAAAGCAAAAATCAGAAACTGCAATTTTCTCTAACTTAATTAACTCTGTGCTATCGGAAGACATCATTTATACAGACCTGAGAAAACACAATCAAAAAAATATAATATTAATAATATATTATTTAATTCTTAACACATTTGTATTATGTAATGTTTTTACTATTTTATTGTATATAGGTATGATATGATAATGGATATTAAAGAAATGAATAAGTATGATTTAATACTGCATTAAATGTTTTTCAACTAAAAGATCCATTCATTTATATATGCTTAGTGAAGTGACTAGTGTAGATTCCTGCAGACAAAATTGCTGTATTTATGCACATATTAATTTATATAAAAAAAAAGGAACCTGCAAAAGTCACTCCTACATCATACTTTCTGTATTATGCCGAGCGAGCACTGGAATATTGTTATTCTGACAGAACTATTATAGTCATCATTTGGCGACGCAAAGCAAACAATTTCTTAGAAATTCGCAAAAAAATGTACCAAGTGTGAATCAGAATGTGAACATTACAATATCAATGTATGCTTGGGAGTACGTTAACACTTTAATCGACAGTGAGTCAGGCTATATCAGCTCATATGAATAAAGTCGTCGGAAATCGTGTAAAGATTGTGTGATTGTGACTTCTTAGAATGTAATATGTTTGGACCACGAAATGGTGATGCTAGGTTGACTATAATAATGTGTTGCTTGAAAAAAAACCATTTATTCAAAAATTCCGCAATATAACAAGGATTCCAATAATAATCTATCAGCATTTTCTTTATACACAAAATTTTTCAGATCCTGAAACTTCCCTCTGGGCAGCATTATGCAATGTTTTCTCATACAGACAAGAGCTGGAAATCGAACAAACACAAGATAAACCTTTAGAACATTGTCAATCAACAGTCAGTGACCCAGACTCGACTCCAGAAAAAGATACCCCATCCCCAGTTACTCCGGAAACTGTACCCAAAATGGGAAGTTGGACAGAAACTGACACAATACACAGTTCTCCAAGACGTGCAAAAATGTTGTTTAAAACTCGAACGTTATCCACATTGCCTTTATCGGATACAAAACAGAAATCTGCATTCGAAAACAGGCTCTTGGCCTCATTTAGAGCGAGATCACTGGATGAAAACTATATGAAAAATAATTTCAATAGTGATGAAGAAACCACATTATATTTCAAGTTGCTGTTCTATGGATGTTTCTGCATGCTCGTGTGGAAACATATTTGGCTTTTACCAGTGATGTTGTTTTTTTTAGCTATACATGTACTGAAGTGGGTTTTGGACTTTTTTGGCATATGGTTGTTATGCGAAAACCTGTATAACAACATTATGGGAAAGGTTAAAAGCTGGTGGGAAGACAGGTAAATATATTTATAATATATATAGACAGTTGAAAGTACTTATATTTGGGGCTAGGAAAACATTTTATATTATGTTTCTCATCTTCTTGTCTACACTGACAGTTTTGCGGTGGGCAAAATCGGGCATTGTCTTGTAATTTTTTTTTTTTTAGACAATCAGCTTTAATGCCCGGTCAAGTACGAGGCATTTGCAAAGTGATGTCCATCTGCAATGAGCGAACCAGTAAGATAGCATACGACTCCGTAGACACCGTCTCTACATGCTTTGTGATCATAGGACTCATATTCTTCGTTACTGTTGCCACAGTCTTTATTTGTATACAGGTGAAAATTGCAGATATCATAATTTAAAATCGGTGCTCGTTAAAAAATGTACTCGGCATCTACATAGCCTTTACTCAGTTTTGGTTTTACGAGTAGTCAAAACTAATGAGTGATGCAACATAAGAGTCAAAACGGAAACAGATGTCTAAAGTAAATCTTAACAGATGCGGAAGCGGAAGTGTAAATACTTTATATCTTAAAGAAAAAATTCCAAATAGGATTTGTTTTTGGTTTCTTAATTGAGGCAATTTATTCTTTATTTTTTTGTAATTATGGATGCATAATTACAAAAAATTATACTTTACATGATAATGTAAAGTATAATTTTGCGCTGGTAACTTCAATAGTACTTAACACAACACAAAACTGCTAAAAACACACGCCTCATCCGTCGCGAACGTTATAAACTTCCGATTAAAGTTCTGTTGCAAAATTTGCGGAAGCAGAGGCAGAGGTCTGTTGCGCCATTAGTAAAAACCATTTCTGGTGAAATGTGGGTTCTACTCTAGTATTTTTTCCCTATAACGGGACGCTGATAAGCAGTAACGTGTCAACTAACACGACCAAAGTTTTGAAAAAAAAATGGAAATTAAAGATTTTTCGTGATTTGACTAATGGATGTATGTCAACTGTTTTATCTTTTTTTTATTATTTGGAGTTTTGAAAATCACCTAATTTATGTTTGTAAAACGTAGACGAGACGACCTTTGGGATGGCTCTGCGACATATCAACTGGCCACTTTGGATTCAATTGACAACCGTGTCAAGAGGCTTAGGTGACTCGGAATTAGTGGAGGCGAAACTGCAGAGCTTTGAACACCGCCGTAAAGTTGCCTGTTTATCGATATTTTACAGGATTTTATATTTTGTATGACGGATTATATATTTTGTATGATTTATATCACGGAGAGTGTGCGATGGAATTACACGATTTATTTCCACCTTCCCCTTTCCATCACCGGGGGACTAGGCGTAGGCTTGGGTTCCACGTCTATGTTGTGGATATTCCATAGATTCGCACGAAGCGTTACGCTTCCACATTTATATGGCGAACGACCATGGAGTGGAATTCCCTGCCTGCAGACTTGTTCCCTGAACGTTATAACTTGGACCTTTTCAAGGCGAGAATGAATAGGCATTATTTAGGTGTGCATGCTCCATCGTCACCTCATCGTCACTTTCCATGAAAAAAAAAAGAAAAAAAAAACAAACTACAATGTGGCATAAAAATCGCAATTATCGAGTTATTGTGGGTTAACATGTTATTGCTTATCGAGTTCTTAGATTTTCGCGATTCTTACACATAAGAAATGAAACTATTTTTCCGGATTTAAATCGCGTATATTTGTTTTTTCAAACAAACCAACGAGCCCTAAACCCGGAAAAATAGTTTCATGTCCTATGTTATTGCTTATTAGCATCCAGTCATATAGGTTAATAGACTTACAGCAAATATAACTCTTTTACCAGATATACTCAGAAACTATAGTAGTAGTACAACTAAGCGGTAGCCTGCTCAACAGCACGTTTGTCCAGAATAGTGAGCTACACAAATATTTACCCGAAGGCTGGGAGGACAAGCTTGATTCACTCCTTGATAACGCTTATACTTATGGGAGGGAAGGAATCTCTAAAGGGGTAAGAATGTTTATCTGTTAAATGGTTTGAAAAACTATTATGTACTTGGTACTTGGTGCAACGGGCTGGTATCCGCAACTCGACGACAAAGCGCCTATTATGTAATGGTACTTATGAATGAAACTTTTTTACGTTCTTTGTAGTCTTAGAACTGTTTTAATAAGTATTTTTAGCGTCCGCCATCTTAATGTTTGTGATCTCTATTTTTTATACGGAATGCGAGGTGAGAAACGGATACCCGCCTACCTTACTTTATTAATTAATTAAACCATTTGTTAAGTAATTTAATTTGCTTCATACAAACAAATGGAACCCGCAGATACGATACGATTGGATATGTACTTTACTGTTCCTCTGCATTCAAACTAACCTCATTTTATTTGGCATGAATGATAAAACAAAATTTTTATAAACATTGCTAAATGTAACTTTGTAAACCCTGCGTGAATTATTTTTAAGAATTCTTTAATAGAGTTTCTTCAACTTTTGACAAGTGTCACTGTCTAATGTGGAAAAATATTACTGTTTCTGAAAAATGTGTTTTTTTTTATCAGAATGGAAATTTTTCATGACCCAACCTACACTTGTTTACGACGTTTTCCATATAATTTTATGCAACTGCGCAGACGTCGCCATTTTAGTTGAGTTTCGATAATCGACAACAGTTTTTGATTGCTGAAATCTGCGATTAAATCAATTGTTGATTGTCACAACTAAAAACTAGGAAGTTTGTACCGGTTGTATGAAATTGCTCCCGTCTCTCGCAGCATCAGTCTTGTTCTGGGTTATGACCATGGATTTCTAAACTTTATTTAAAATCGGTGCAACCGTAAACTGGGCCTTCCGAGTTCCGGTACTCAACACTAGATGGCACTATATTCAATTGTTCTCATATAAATTTACGCAATCGCTTTAAAGGAATAAAGACTATTCACGTTACTCACTGTATCCTGTCCTTCGATCATATAACATTCTACAATGAATATCACCCATACAAATTCCGTTTTCCTGAACCAGGTGAAAAGTATCCTCAAAGAAGGCGACGCAGACAAAATAGCTCGCGTTGAGCAGCAAATACTCGAGATATGGGACCGTCTGTACCAAAGCTGGGTATCGGGACACTTCGCCGCGCAAGTCGGGCCACAGGTCGACCAGTCCGCCATACAGGATTCATGGGACAACTTTGTCAGTGACGTCACGAACACACCTGGTAAGTCCTTTTATTCACCACACTCTTCAAGAATTCCTTGACTGTGGTGCGAGAGTTGGTGGGAAAATTTACTGCATTAAAAAAAATCAAAACAAGCGCAGCTATTTTGCACGATTTAACCTGCACTGGGTTCGCAGAGTACAGTAGTAGAATTAATTTACTTGCATTTTTATTAATAATTGCCAAGCCACTCGAAGAATTTAGGTACAGTCGATGTCTGACCACCTAACCGACTACTTAGTTCTGAGTGGATCAGTGTAAAGAAAAGTGTTAAAGCAAGTTAACCTTCAACTAGTGTGCTGTAAAATTCACTTTGATAGGACTCCATATTGCATCATTAGTGAATGACGTTTTAATAAACTTTTTAACCAATTTGATCTTTAATTACATTACATAAATACAAATTTCAACCAAAAAGCTAGAATTCGTTTTCACTTTTTAGTTGAACGCGTGACAAGGCTCCCAGAAGTAAAAGATCGGCTAGGGGATCAGGTATTTTAGGGCATCGACTGTACCTAATATTAAATGTGTACCTTGATATTAAATGTGTGTGTCAGTTATGAAGCGCCAGCGTTATTTTTGTTATGCATTGTGCACATTGTACATTATATAGAACAGTACGTTGACAATTGTTTTCGGATGAATTCTGGCTTGAGATCTAATAAGAAATGTTCTTTATATTTGCAATATCTTATTCGAACAAAATACTTCTTAGACTCGATTTACAGTAAATTGAGCCTTCGCTTTTTTAGACTTATAAAAACATAAACAAAGAACCGGTGGTCATAAACGTTTTTCTTTAGCAACAAATTGTAGTAAAGGAAAACAGTGAGAATGGATGACTAATGAAATGACGTTTGCAAATGACAAGATAATTATTTTATTAAAAGTGTCCGTTTAATTTTTGGAAGCTCTGTTTCATTAAGTTTTTTATAGTGCAAGCCTTTGAAATAGATTTGGTAAGATAAACATTTTTCATTTGATTTGTAACTGTTGAATACTATTAGTCAAACGATGTAATAATTACGTAGTTAGTAAATATGTTTGAGAATTTTGTTTCACGGTATTTATGTAGTTATTTTACTTGCAAACTGACAATGAGTGCGAGTCAGTGGCGTCTGATTAAAAAAAGCAACTTTTCCTTCTGACTAATGATAAAAAAACTAAATATTAAGGTACTTTTCATCCGGCGAGGCGAGACGAGGTTTGAAATTTGTATAGCAAAATTTCGATTCTCTACTAGCGCATCTTCGATCGAAATGCTTGACAAGAATAGGCGAGAATCGAAATATTTGTTGATGTAATATTCAACCGTATAGCTGCCGGCATACATTAACATACTCCATTGCGCAAGCTATTAATGGCGATTTGTCGTGGAAAAAGACCAAAGAGATTTCAATTCTCGTCTCGTCTCACCGGTGGAAAACCGCCTAAATAATGGAAAACATACTTTGATTACAGATATATTCGACTATTCCGGTGTGGTTGCATGGGTCCAAGCGAACTTAGGCACTCTCAGCGCAATTGCTACCAGCGTTTGGGCACCACTAGCAAGCAACGTGTCTCTTTTAGCCGGCTCACTGGGTGCTTTTGCTTCATTGCTACTGTCAGGTGGCAGCACTATCATCAACATGTTCATTAACTTGGTAAGTCAAACCTCCATGTCGATGATGGTGTCTTGAAACATTTGGCATAAGTGCAACAAATAAGAGTAAGCGTTCCATTACATTGCTATAAAAAACTAAATAGTCCTGATTTTTCCTAAGTATTAAACGAATCTGATTTTAACCAAGCCACAAAAACTATTAAGACGCTGACAAGCGTCGATGACCTTGAGCGATCACGCGCCTACTATAATTTCTCCAATAAGGTGGCGCCATACGCCCCGATGCGGTAAGAGTATGGTAATTGGACCTTCAAATTTCTTCTTCTAAATTTGTTATTTGTCTTTTATTTAAAGCAAATAAAGTGTCAGGATCAAGTAAGTACCATTTAAATAACCACACCAAATTTGGTAGTAAGCAAGTTTGGTTTGCCCGAGAAAAATATGTCAAAAAATAACCACCAGAGTCTCACTGTAATCCAGTTTTTGTATTACCTATGACAATAAGCAATATTCTATGAATTTCAAGCTACACTTCAAAATACGTATTACAGGATGTACTATTTTCAAAGTTCCACGTGCTATGTTATCGCCTAAAAACTTACACAAAAACATCATATTTAAGCGATTTTGGACACCTCATCGCCTTAAATCTTCTACAATCAATAATCAGTAAACACTCCAAAGTAGTGAAAATCGAAAAGAAATAGAAAATCTTCAAACCCTGGATGAATAAAAAATGGTGTGTACTAGTTCTTTGCTATCCCGCGAATTACAAATTAATAATAATAATTATTATTATTTATTTAAAAACAAAAGCAATAAAATAAAATAATTGTCATACAATAAAAATACAGTGCAATACAATGCGCTTATAAGATAAGTCTGTCATTTCTTATTTCCATCACGATGCATGGAAATCCAGTCTTTAAAATAGGAATCGTGCACGTACTCACAGAGAGTACGGAGAATCCTGTTGTCAGACACACGGAGAAGGCTCCTAAAGCTATCGACGCGAAACATTATTGCGAATAAATCAGGAACTCCGGCCTCGGCGAACATACTCGATGCGCTGCAGTATCTCGGCTGGTTCATTAGAATGCAATACGTATCATTATACTGCACTCTAATGGTGCTCATCGCGCGTTTCGAAAACCTACTCCAGAGTTGACATGTGTAGAAGCATAAACAATAAGCCTAAACAAGGTCACTCTGACATGATTACTACACCGCGGGAATCTGCGCGCGAGCATGTTGCACCGAACGGCTAGAGCCCTGCACCTTCGTTCTATGTCGTCATCATTAACTAGACTCTCCGTTAGAACGTGGCAAAGGTATTTGAATTTATCCACCATCTCCACTTGCGCACGAACTAAAACACGGGCGGAACGTTCGCCGGGCCCCTTCCGGCCTTAAAGACCATCAATTGCGTCTTCTGGACATTATATTTTAAGCCGTACTTATGAGCATACTGCTCACACAATGCCAGTAGCTTTCGCAGACTATTGATCAGAGGGCTGAGGAGCCCATAACATCGGCATAGCTTAAGTTATTTACACACGTTGTGCCAATATGGCAACGTACTCGAGTGCTTCTCAGCTCCACGATCAGGTCATTCACATAAAGACGGAAGAGACCCGGCGAGGTTAGCCCACCTTGGCATACGCCACATTCTAACCTGAATACGTTAGAATTTGTGTCGCCCCATCTTACACAATTACTTTTGTTTTCATACCAGAATCTCAACAGATCAACGACTTGCCCACACACGTTAGAAGCATAGAGTTTCTCCCATAGTAACCTCAGGTTCACTAGGTCGAGAGTTCGACTAAGGTCTAAGAAACAGGCGTACACTGATGTATCCCTGATGTGTTAGTAGTAACATAGTGATTCAACACACTTTTAAGGCTAAAAACGCCGTACCCGTTGAGAAACCGGGGCTAAAACCAAATTGGGCATCATCCAGCTTGGGAATATTTCGCTTCAGTTCCGGGTGGATCTGACCCCGAATTCGGCTGACCCGGCTGACCCCGAATTCGAAACAATTGACGGGTGTCGTTAATTGTTTAACTTCAAATCGACTAGTTTAACTTGAGCTTTGCTATAATGAACGAAAATTGAAAAATTATTTACATATTTAATATTTAATTACCGATGAAATGTGATTCCGTTTGTTTTGTAATTAAATCTTTTGCTATTTTTCCGACACCACCGAATGGAACAGCCCCCCATTGTTAGAGATATTATCTTTATTACAATAAATACATAATATTTTTGGAATATACGTAGACGTACAAACAGGTCAGTTGTTGGCGCTGTACTATTTCAGCTTTCTAATTTGTGATTTCAGCGCAAACGCGAGTTGATGTTTAAAAGTGATGTAAGGCCCCTTTACCTGATGAGTTGCCAGGGATAGATGACCCTTATTTCCTTATTTGCCGTATGTTTAGTTGACTAGGGACACCGTTCCCTTCAAATTGTATTAAGAAGTTTTTATATATTACATATTTAGTTTTAAAAAATTATACACTACCAGACACATTGCGAGGCACCATGAATGAATGAAATATTTTTTATTATAGTTAATTGCACATTAAAATAACGCGAAAAGCGTTTGTATTTTTATTCTTAAAGGGCTACAATACAAAAATATTGTTATTATCGTTGAAGAAAAAGTTTCCCCAGTTTTACAAATTCAAATTTTCAACAAGGACTTATAGAAATGACATTTGGTATAATAGTTTCAAAATAGTATTATAGGAAATGAAACTATTTTTCCGGAATAAATCGCGTATATTTGTTTTTTGAAACAAACCGACGTTTCGGGTCCTTTACGCGATTTAAATCCGGAAAAATAGTTTCATTTCCTATGTGTAACAATCGCGGAAACCTAAGAACTCGAATAGTATTATAGTTTTCCAAATGTATAGTTTTTCAATTGTATTGTCAAAAAAATGCAGGTTGGTTCGAATTATGTATCGGGGAGTGTATTAAATAAATTAACGCGACAAACACGCCAAATAAAAAGTTACAACTTAGATTTGTACTCTTACCATGCGGTAGAAAATTTAAAAACTATATTTTCTGATGACAAGACCTTGATTTCAAAAGTCAATACGAGGATCACCATTTCTTGACCAAAAGAGAGTAACTTATCAGGCTATATTTACATGTTTCAAACAGCAAATCCTACACATTTCGAAATCCATTTTACTTTGAATTTCTGAAGTACTGCAATGGATTTGGAAATGTGTAGAAATTCACGCTGAATGTCAGGCAGACGGTTAGAGAGCTGCTTAAAATACGCGTTTATATTAAAACTAGGTGGTGTTCTTCACGACGCTGTTCTACCTGCTCGCGTCGAGCAACGCTCTCTATAAGCCCGTAGAAGTGATCACGCAAGTCCAGCCCAACTTCGGACCGAGGCTCGGTATTGCCCTTTCTGTTGCCATCAATCAAGTAAGTAAATGTACTTTAATACAAGGTCTTCATTTCTATAATACAAGGATCGAACACTCAGAAAAAATTCCTTCGATCCGGCCGGATTCGAACCGACGTCTTCTAGCTTACCGTGGCAGACGCTATATCAACTACGGAACGAACCAGCGGACCTCACGAATTTTTCTATGTGCTTGCGTCGTATATTTGTGTTTGGTTTTTTCAACGACTTTTTAGTCGTAGCGCCATCTATGAGAAATCTATGAAAGATTTATCACCCAGTTAGTACCTTTACAGCTACCAGTCCTGGCGAGAGATGTCGCTATTCACTGCATTTTCAATTTTTATTGATTTGATATTCAATTATTTTTTTGTGATATTACTCCACTAGTTTGTTATAATTGTTAATACAAAGATCGAACACTCAGAAAAAATTCCTTCGATCCGGCCGGATTCGAACGGACGTCTTCTAGCTTACCGTACCAGACGCTATACCAACTAAGCATCTTCATTTCTAGTTAAAATAGTAAATTCTATACATTTAAACAGTTCATTCAGGGACGTATTGCCATATCTATCTCTGTCGCCAAGCAGTAAAAAAATGTGCGCATTACTGCGTTCCGGTTTTAAAGAGTTATGGTTGCTTGTGAAACTACGGGAACATGAGACTTGTCAACTTTATGTATCAGGGTGATGCATCTAGTATATAACCAAAAAAAAAGGAGCGAAATGTCATTTAATTTGTTAAAAACTATTCTGCCAAATCATTAATGTGACAACTGTGCTCCGGCCATCCCGGACTCGAAACAATTGACCGCACCGTCAATTGACGGTGCCGTCCATTGTTTCAGTTCAAATCGACCAGTTTAACTTGAGCTTTACTATAATGAACGAAAATTGCAAAATTACATATTTAGTATTTAATTACCGATGAAATGTGATTTGTCTTGTAATTAGGTGGTTGCTGTTTTTCCCACTCCACCGAATGGAACAGCTCCCATTATTAGAGATATTATTTTTATTACAATAAATTTTGGAATATACTATTTCAGCTTTCTAACTTGTGATTTCAACGCAAACGCGAGTTGATATTTAAAAGTGATATAAGGCCCATTTACTTGATAAGTTTCCAGGGGTGGATGGCCCTTATTTCGTCTCTATTTCTGGTTGTGTACTCGATGAGGTGATGGCACAGTGGCAGTGGCCCACAGATGTTTGCGATTTAAATGTCTGAGTGACACTGCAACTGTTATGGACATGCATGTCGCTTACTACCAGGCGCACGACTTATTGTACCGTCACTTGGTATCATAAAAAAGAACGACCCGGATTCAATTCTCGATAAGACCAATTTGGTGAATCATCATCATTATTAACCCATTTTATATATCCCACTGCTGAGCACGGGTCTCCTCTCAGACGATGATTAAAGGCCGTAGTCCGCCACGCTGGCCCAATGCTGTTTGGGGACTTCACACGTTTTCCGAGACATTTTTTATTTATTTTATTCGGGAAAAAAACAGTACAAAACTAACAACAAACGGTCTTATTACTAATTTACATATAAGTATGTACTACCAACAACGTCATCCACGAATTACTGTTATAATGTTCATGTTGCCACTTAACTTAAAAATAAGATATTAGTTAATAAATAATAATGCTAAGAACATAGGAAGAGGTGTTCTAAATTCCAGTTAAAAGCTTAATGGTACTCAATACATCTATAATAGCGGCTCTAAATTCAGTTTTTGGAAGATGTACAATATCCAAATACTTAAAACGATCGTTAAACACAAGAGCGATCCGGCGATGGTGTATAGTTTTAGATCTTTGGATATTAATAGAATGACTTGACTGTAATGTTTCTTATTATTGCAGGTTTTTAGAGCGTCTTTCAAAATGGCGCTTTTCTACGGCCTGTGGACGTGGTTGGTCCACAATCTGTTTGGTGCCAAAGTGGTCTACCTACCTTCCGGTAAGTTACGTTTAAGGTTAGGTTCAGATAGACGCACACCTACTGCGCGTCGACGTCCGTTAGAACGTTCAAATGACGCAAGGCAAAACGCGATGCGCGCAAATGTTTACAGGGAACGAAACCCACTGTCATATGAACGGGTACACTGTCTGTGCCTATAATTCTAAACGCGCGTTTGTAGCGGTGGCGCACGTTTTGAAGTATTATTAACCGATTTCAAAAAAAGTGGGGATTCTCAATTCAACGTATTTTTTTTCTGTGTGTATGTATGTTATGCGATTATTACAGCATCTGTGAACCGATTTCGATGATTTTGTTGGAAAGAGAGCACCTCGTTATTGGTACTATTTAAATTTGAAGAAAATATTCCACCTGTAAGGGTGGCAAACTAGGTGATGAATCCGGTTTCGCGCACTTTATGGTAAACAATTTCAATAATTCTGGGCAAACAGATATAATTCCACGAAATATTGAGGTCGGTTTTATATTTTATAAAAAAGTTATAATTTTCTCTGAACGCAGCTTTACGGCACATTAACGCGCGACACCGCGCGTACATATGAACTGACATATGTAAAATCTATACGCGCGATTTTTAATAACGCGCTTTTATATTTTTGTCATCTGAACTTAGCCTTACGCTACAAACATTACAGCGATAAAATAATTTCATACCCAATTACAGTGGCATTTTTTAAAGTACTTGCTTCGGAGCTATTCGAATTTGACGGAAATTGACGGTTACTTTTTTAACATATTTCATTTTAATAGTATTCATCGTCTACTCATTATACGTCTCCTCTATCGGTCGAGTCACATTGCCGCAGCCAGGCCAAACAAGCGACGTAACTTAAACTTCATCTTCTACAAGATTAGGTTAGATTTCTTTAAATTAAAAATTAAAAACAACACGCTGCAAGCGGCGCCACGCTGCACTGCATAATGCATTATGGTATAGAACATAATTCTCTACAAAAATAAAAAGAAAAAAGTAGAAATTTCTCTGAATGCAAAATACAACATAATCTCAGTACAAAGTACCTACTAAAAAAAAAAACGACCTGAAAAGTACCTGGAATTACGTCTATTTGCCAAATTTTATTGGAATATCCCCTAGTTCGCCACTATACCGAACTTGATACAGGAGATAATAAAAATCGGTTCTTACTTGAATTGGAGAAATAGCAAAATCAACCATTAAAGTAATTGCTCCTAAATTAAAGTTAGGCGCTATTTATAAAAATGAATCTTCATGCGTGAACAGCCACCCTTCGAGGTGGATGCTTTTCTTCAAAATGAAATGGGACCACTATGGAAGTACCCCCTTTCCAACAAAAAAGAATCATGAAAATCGGTTCACAAATACCGGAGTTATCGCGTAACATACATACAAAAAAAAGAAGATAGAGACGAATCGAGAACCTCCTCCTTCAAAACTGAAGTCTGTTAAAATGCCTTGAATTAGAGAATAGCAAAATCAACCAGTAAAATAATTGCTCCTTATAATAAAATTTAGGCGCTATTTATAAAAATTAATCTTCATGCGTGAACAGCCACTCTTAGAGGTGGATCATTTTCTTCAAAATTAAATGGGACCACTATGGAGGTACCCTCTTTCCAACAAAAAAGTGTCGTGAAAATCGGTTCACAAATACCGGAGTTATCGCGTAACAACACAAAAAAACGTACTGTGGAATTGAGAACCTCCTCCTTTTTTTTGAAGCCGGTTAAAAAGAGTAAAGCTTCCTGCAACCTGTCATTGGCAGCTTGTGCCGCCACGGGTAATGCGAAGTGTAACTTATTCTCAACAATAACTTATTTCTTTGAAAGACACATTTTCCGCGTCACCTGACTGCGACAATTTGAGCCACTCTGGGAGTGAGTTTATTGTCAATACTTGTTGAGGAGTTAACAACATTGTTACCATAGAGTTTTAATATCAGCAAAAAATAATAATATAATGTAATAAAAATGTGCTACACAATCACACCAAAATTACCTGGTCTCATATTAAAGAAGTCCCTGCATTATAAGTACCAGACGAACGGAATTCACTCCGGGGCACAACCCAGCACACCCAGATGAGAATCAATTTAGAAAACTTATTTTGCAGATCTAAATCCGTTAAAAAAATTCATTTCCTTAGTACAACAATTATAAAATTATAGTAGCTCCTTGTAAACGTCTTCGTCCAGAAAATTACTACCACCTTACCTATTTCTGCTGTGTTTTGAAGGGTAAGGATGCTGGTGAAATTAAAAATGAAATGAATGAAATTACAAGCAAACGGGACTTATCAACTTATATATCACAATGACGAGCACAGTAGCAATGACCCTCAAATCTTTAAGTGACACTGCAACTGCTATGGACAAGCGTATCGTTTACCACCGGGCGCACGACTTGTTCTTTCCGGCACTTGGTATAGTAAAATAAAATCGATACAATTTTGAAAAGTTGATTTCCCAAATTGGTCCCACCGCGAATCGCATCGGGATCTCCTTATTCAGCGTCCACTGTGCTAACAGTGGGGCCGCCAAGGTTGTAAATAAAATTATATCGTGGTAAGATACTCGTAACTATTCGCTTCGCCTTAGAGAAATGAGAATGCAGAAGACTCGGTCCTCAAGATTTATTGTAGGAGATGATGAAAGAGGAAAAAGAAAGTCGAAAAAGCCTATGTAACTATATAATTTGAATTGTAATCTACGTGCAGTTTAGCATGATTTATGGGCACGTCCTCATGTTTTAAGAATTTTTAATAGGAATGACGACAGAAAATAAGGAAAAAGAAATTCGAGGACCATTCAAAATTTTTAAAAATAAGTGACCAGGCACCAGAAAGGAGGTTAGCGTCATCACAACTATAACTTATGTGATAGTAGTTTAATAAACAACCACGAAAAGCTTAACACCTGTCCTATAACAATTTCGTTATAAGTGGTATTGTAATCACGGTACACTTATTTGTACTCAAGATGTTTATCTCAATGTCAGTTGTACGATCTATTGAAACGTAAGTACATTAAGATTAATATTTATTATAAATTATACAATTGTAATATATTTAAAAAATATATAACTTATTTAATATTCGACCGGCGAAATATGCTATATATGTTTTCACTCCTGGGTCATTGATCTTGAAATTATTTTAGTATAAACAGATAATGTCGTATTTTTTGCACTACACTGCTTAGCAGAGAATTATCTCACAGTCGTTGTCACGTGTTTATTACGAGTACATCGTACCAGCATCAACATTTCGCGTGAAAAACCTTATATTAATTTCGTAAAACTAGGTTCATTTGTTATTTCAACATTCACTTGTTTCTGTGACAATGAACTGCACATTACTCGTGTGTGTCGTCGGATTATTGCCATTGAGCAGTGCCGTTCGAATAAAATTAATTAATTGTCAACAATCTGAATGGCATTGTGCAAATAATGCACAGAACGATATTGTTTATTCGTGTTCGAATGTTAAGGACGATGTAAGTACCAATTGTTTATTTATGTTTACCGATAAAAAATTAACACCGTGTAAGATAACAGCAGTTTTATCGTAAAATGTCGTAATTTCAAAATTCACGATTTCAGTTTTTGACTCGGTCGTACATAAATGCGTCCAGTCGATCGTGTATTTTAAATGAGACATTTTTTTTAAATTCTGTTTTCAACCATTGTTACACTTTGTGATTTTTTTAATTAGCAATGGCGGTAATAGGGTGTTCCAAATAAGTACATAAATATCAACACATAGATACAAGGAAATACGCGTAGTGGTTAAAATGACCAAGTATTAATTAATTACTTTTTCGAATTACTGGAAATTTCCCAGCTTGCCGTAACTGTGCATATTTTCATACCATCCACATTCCATCCAGTTACCATTCCATACCAATGTAAAAGAGCTATTTAACGTTTGTTTTTACACTATTACAATTTTTATATTATGGTTAAATATAAAAGTGTCTATAATATCTGCATAAGTTAAAACAAGGATGTGCTTGTAGCTCATAAAAAACGTTTACTTCGTGAAAGGTTAGCTATCAACTGCATTTTTTACATGGCGCTACTAGAATTAGTTTAAATTCAACCAATCCAACTTCAACTTCTTCTTCAAAGTTTTTCTTACGGTGAAGCAAAACTATAACCTGAAATCCGGAATCCGCAAGAGTAATATGTGGTGATTTTAACCACTGTATGTCACTCCTTGCATTTATACGTAAACATTTATGTACTCGTTTGGAACACTGTTTAGACCATTGCTAATTAGTTACAAAATATATGTTCTCTAATTAGTTCTATATTGTTTTAGAATTTCGTAATCCACATAAAGGATTTTTACTCAGACCAAATAAGGAGTGTCACCGTCCAAAATTGTAAAGATATCCGCGTAATATTGGACTGTCCACTTCTCCAAAGGCCATCGCAATTGCAACATTTCAAAATAAAAGACTGTGATAGACTAGAATTTGTTTCCTTAGCCACCAGTTCATTACAGCAAACGCCACCAGAATTCACAATAGAAAACGTAAGAGAAATCCTGTCATTACCACCAATGATGTTCAAGAATCCTAGTACAAATAACGAATTAAAATGTGCTGGATCGCCGACATTAAAAAAAATACGTGTCGTGAACAGCAAAATTAATTTAGTTAACACTAACGCTATACGTAACGTGACTGAAATCAAAGTTATCGAATTCGACAACGTAACGATAGCTAACATTGAAAATCACGCTATAGATGCTATAATGGGTGATAATGCTATTTTCTCCATACAAAATAGCAATATAGCTACTCTAGATTATAATAGCATAAATATACAAACCACGACAGCTACTATTTCACAGAATTCTTTCGGAGACTTGACAGGCAGAACTATAAACATAACTGCAGATAATTTATACATAACAGAAAATATGTTTAAGGAAATATCTGCTAACGGTTTCCTTCTGAAAGCGGGTAACATTGAATTTGTAAACAATGACATCGATACAGTTCTGCGGAATGCTTTTAATAGCATCAAATGTGCCAATAAAGGTATTTCGAGAATATTTAACTTCTCAAAAAACAAAATTAGATCAATCGCACCGCATTCATTATTGATAGAATACACAAATTGCAAATCGATTGGTACAACAGTAATATTCAGTAACAATCAATTTGATTGTAAATGCCGTAATGTAGCGTTTCTAAAAACTGGTCCAATTAATACTGAGTACAGCAATTTAATATTAGACGTAAAGTCTAACAATACTTGTGTATCAGCGCCATGTATACTTCCTCTTGAAATTATAAAGAAACTTATTGATAGTAATATGTGTCAATTGAAACTCGATGCTCGATTAATGTGTTTGTTATACAACGATAGACAACAGCACGATGAAGTGACAACTGAGGAATATATCATAGAACCAACGTCTACAATTTATGTTGTCAGACATGCTAATTCACAGAATGGAGACGCGAGTGCAGCTATGACAGATATTGATCAAAGTAAATTGACAAATAATCAACTAAATAGAATGAATAAAACTACAGTGAAAGGTGTTTTTGACTCACTAAACGATTTCGTTGAAACATTGAGAAATACTGATCATCAAAGAACCACTTCGGAAACGAAGACTTCTGTTAGTGAATATACAAGCCAATGTGTTGGAAGTGAATGCATGAATGATTACGACAGACAAAAGGCTTTGGATTTTTATAAGTATGTGTACGCGCAAATTAGATCGCCAAAAACGACAGAGAACAAAGAGACCTAAATGTCTAAAAATAAATTAAAATATCTTATTGATTTTTTAATCGTATTCATTTTACTGCTAAATCCTCTTGACTAGTGCGACCTGTCTGCAATCAGTATTTTTTTTTGGAAAATACAAGAAAACCTATATTACATTTATATCTATATATATATATATATATATCTGTGTATATGTATATATATATATATATATATATTCTATATATAACATTTCGTTGCAAATTGATACCCTTCATTTCGTAGGTGATCAATTTATACTAGAAATCGCAGATGCGATTTACGACCTTCATGGTCGAGTGGTTTGCACACCGGTTTTCGTGATGTCGCCATCTCTGAGTTCCCGGGTTCGATCCCTGGCCGGATCAATGTAGAAATCTAGCTAAAACTATATTGTCTCGAGTCTGGTGCGGTGTTTGTGATACCGCCGTTGTCTCCGATTCCCATAAACAAGTACTTTAGTTACTTACTTTGGAACCAGAGCAACATAAGTGACGTTGCCAATATAATATGTTATGTTGTTTAATTTAAAATTGCTTTTTACTATATAAAAAAAGGGAAACAGTATTTTAACATTACTTGGGTCTATTCTTTGTAGTTATGAGAAAATATTTTTGCCCTAGCATTTCGCATTAAAACAAATTTAAGGTAAGCACTAAAATCTAGTTTACCAAACATATAGACTTGAATTGTTGTTGATAACTGACACCGTTTTTTTCCTTTGCCCAGTTTTAGCTGCTGTATTAGGCGCTGCGCCATTCCTAGGGCCGTATCTGGCTGGTATACCAGCAGCGCTAGACGTGTGGCTACAGGGCCGGCCGATGGCAGCCTTAATGTTGCCCATAGCGCAGGCTGCGCCAATCGCCTTTTTGGACGCTGCTGTTTATGCTGAAATTAAAGAGTAAGTTTCTTGGAATAAATGTCGTCGTTTTATTTTCATTGCATTAGAGAATTAAATGAAATGTTAAACTCAAACTAAAATCACATTTATTTCATATGTAAGCAAATTACATTTGATATCGTTATATTGATTAAACTCTACTGCTCATTCGTAAGGCAGATTCCCCTGTCAATGTCCAAGGCCAAGAAATATAATCTATAGTTTTGGTTTGTGAAAAATAAAGTGTTTCGTTGCATAAATAAATTATTAATAATCCATACACTAACTGTCAAGATTAAAATCCACATAATTAATTTCCATAAAAGTCAGCAAACCATAGACAAAAGAAATAAGAGATTATTTGCATTTCCTTTTAAAAATAAAAAGCCAAAGATATTTTTTTAATTTTATTTTGTTAGTAATAAAATTTGCTAATTTATTCGTTGTGTATGAAATTTTTTTTAAATTATTTTGACCAACTTCAGCTGTCCCAATTATTTCTTCTGATACAATGAAATAATCCTCATAAGAAACTGAAAATGCTCATCATTTTGTATGATAAAATATTTTATGAAATTTGACCAACTTTTGCTGTCCCGTAATTTTTCTTCCAATATAAATAATTAAGAATAAATACAATGAAATGATCCTATCATCAAACGGAGTCAATCAGCAATAAAAAAATTTGATCAATTTTATTCATTTTTATATACAACTCACGCTTGACCAGAACATTGACTATGCCAAAATTGTTTTCACAATAAAATATTTCCTTGTATATTCTATGGTTTCGGATTTCCCCATACTGTCCCATTTAACATTATGATAGCCATCAAGTCCACTTATTGAAAGCATTAGTTAGAAATGGACAAGTAAAAGTTTTAAATTTGAAAACACCTTAAAGCGGGTCCACAATATGTAAATTCACGAACGACTACGGGAATGTCTTTCACAATTGTTGTATGTAGACGGTCTATATATGATGTTTTTACTACTCAGATGCAAATGTAACCCTAAGCTGATATGATCAATGTTATAAGTGCATTGAATGAATATAATTGACCTTATCATATATTATTTATTTTAACTTAATAGAAAAGTTATTGATAATAATGTCAATTATGTACAGCACTGTTGTCGGACAATCGCTGTTCTGAGCACATATAATTAATTATATTTATCTAGTCAGCGTATCAGTGCAAATAACATTTTTAATGAGTAATTACCTTACTTCGCGCCAAAATAGTAAAGTTAACATATTTGATTAATTAATATTAACAATGTGATAGTACCATTCATTTCTTATCATTAGAGGCACAATATTACAATTGCGAATACAAAACCAAGAGTATAATTGGATCGTCACTAATATAAACTACACTATACTAACGTCTAATAAAATAAAACAGTATATAAATGCCGTGGCGCTGTCTTTCACCTTACAAGATTAGCCATCAGTACCGAACCTATTTTAGAAAAGTTAAAACACTAAAATTAAAACCCGATACTTCTCACGTACCAAACAAAATTCCGGTCGTATATGAAGTACTGCTGCCACCTATGGGATGAATCTACTAAATACCATACCTGGGATTAGAGATGGGAAAAACAGCTTATTTTTTTAAACGTTTACTTGTTATGCTTTGTTTAAAAAAGCGTGCTTTATTAAACGCTTTTTCACTTAAACGCTTTTTAGTTTGAAGCTGACAAAATCGTTTAGAAAACTTTAAGCGCATAGACTTTTACGTTAAAAAGCTTGCAACGTTGTGTTGACAGCGAAAAGCAAAAGTAGACCACTAAAGGTTTTAAGATAAGTAAGTTTTTTGTAAAAAAACGAGTTATATTTTTATCTATGACAACATTATTATATTAACTTTTTGTTCATTGGCGTTTAAAAGCGTTCAAAAACATAAGTTGTTTAACTTTGTAGTTGTTAACCGTTGAAATGGGAAAAACTGCTTATTTTTTAACGTTAAAACGTACGTTTAAAAAGCGTGCTTGTAAAAGCGTTTTTCACACGCTTTTTACTTTGACGCTTAAAAAGTAAAACGTTAAATAACGCTTACGCTTAAAATGAAAAATTTATTTCAAAAAGCAGACTTTTTAAGTGCTTTTCGTTTAAACGCCCACCTCTAGGTAGAGGTGGGCGTTTAAACGAAAAGCACTGAAAAGCACAAATGGAATCCCAGGTGGGATTCCATTGCGAAATGCCAAAAGGCTTATCGGTTTCGTAATATATGCATACCGATAGCCGACTGTCTCCAACTTCTAGGAATGGACCTATCGTTTAATTTGAACTTCGGTAGTTACATGGAATCTATAGCAATAAATGCAGCCAGGTATCTTGGCATTATTTCCAAGGTGGGGCGTTACTTCACACTGCGATAGTTGCTCAGCTATACCAAGCACATTTCCGATCATGTATGGAGTACTGCTGCCACGTATGATATGGATCTGCTAAATACTATCTGGCCACCATGGATTCCATAGAGAAAAGTGTCAAGAACGCCTTATCGGTGACTCGAATTTAGTAGAGGCGAAGCTGCAAAGCCTTGAACACCGCTGTAAAGTTGCTTGCTTATCAGTATTCTACAGAATTTATCGAGCTGAACTGCCTCCGTGGCCGAACGGTTACCATGCCGGACTGCCACGCAGAGGTCCCAGGTTCGATTCCCGGGCCGAGAGAAATAGTTGTATGGCCTACAATTATTTCTCTCGTGAGTTTGGGTGTAATTTGTGGTTATCTAAGTGTGTGTCCATGGCACCCGCGACACAGGGTTTCCCTAGTGCGGGGCTATGTTGAGTGTGTGCGTTATTTATTTATTAGCTCCTTACTTAAGATCGGTATCACGGAAACTACAAGAGAATTGCATGTAATAATACCATCATCCCCTTTCTATCATCGGGCGACTAGACGTAGGCTAGGCTTCCATCCCTGTGTTGTGGATGTATCCCAAGATTCGCACGCAGCGTTACGGTTCCTTAATTATATGGTATACGATATCGAATGTAACTAAGCAGGGGCTTGCATATTTGTTCCCTGAACGCTATAATATATAAGAGTGAATAGGCATTATACATATAGGTGTGCAAGCTCCATCGTCGACCTCACCATCATTTTCACAAACATCAGGTGAGATAGAGGTCAAATGCGCGCTTATTTTGTCTGTACAAAAACGCAGAGTGTTTATATATCGATGCAGATTACAACAGAACTATGGATGTCGCCAATAACTTAAAATTATTTTTCAGCGGCGGTCATCCCTACGTAACGGGTCTAGCCATAGCCGGAGGTATCTTCTACCTGGGTCCAGAGGGCGCCATTCTAGGCCCCTTGCTGCTTTGCTGTCTTATGGTGGTCCTCAATCTATCTTCCACCTTCCTCAGAGACACGCCTTCTGAAGAACGGGCAGCACTGCATTCGAGAGTCAGGTAATCAGGCCATTTAGGATGGTTCTATCGACCTACTTCTCTATGGTGTAGGGTCTGCATTTTATATTCTTGATTTACGATAGACATAACTTTTTCAAATATATGCACAAAATTATTATTTCGGGCACTAGGGAAATTATTATAAGGCTCATATTTGTAACTGCAAACTTCTCTAAGGAATTTTACTTTTTGACTGCTTGGTGCTTCCGGAAACTTTTAATATGTCAGCTTGTGAACCTCCATTATATTATGATCATATTATCTGCATCATAGAAATAGCTTGCCACAGAGTTCTATAATATATAGTTGAGTTATCTAAAGGTGGTGCGAATGGGGTATAAGTATGGGTGTCAGCGAGCAAAATTGATCTTTATGATTATTTAACCGTGCGCATAACTATTGCATAATCCTGCATTCAAATAACCTTTTAGTAGGTATTGGGAAACATTGAAGTGATAGTATGTCTCTTGTTTTTTTATAATAATCTTTATTTTATTTTCTAGATTCTTAACTGGCTCTAAAGCGCAAAAACTTCTGTAAGTACTAATTGAGTGTGATATTGAGTGACATTCACCATTTTATACGAAATATAAAGTGTACAGCCGAGTGTTTTCTTTACAATTTTCAAAATAATTACGTGCGTTTAAAAAATACTATTCAAAATTGCGAATCAAATACTCTTTTTAAAATTGGAATTCTCAATTAAAATACAAAAATACCCGATTTCGGTACCTGTGATACCCATTATTTAAACCCATGTTTTTTACTACTTGTTAACAGCTCTCACGCCAAAAAAGTTTTGACGTTGGCTCCGCCCAAATTTGTGAAACAAATATATGCCTGAAGTTCGCGTGACATGCGACAGGAGATGTTGAATTTTGCGCATTAAAAGTACCAAATTCGTTTTAGCGGAATAGCTCTTAAAGTAAAGGGTTTTAAAAAATTCATAGTAACAGTTGTCGATCATGCATAAATATAATTAATTATCTAATTTTTGTCCTGATAACTTGTAGCATTTCGAGGATAAATCGAAAAAATGTGAAAATTAGAGGTTATTTCGTGATTTTTATCTATCGAGGAAACTTTATTATTTTATGTTTCTAATTAATGTCTATGCTTAATATATCGTGTAGTTAGTCATACAATATTTTATTTTTAACTTTAAAATGGATATACCCCTCTAAAATCAAATCGAAGATTAGGAATTTTTCCTCTGCTCCCTCTTAATTCTGTTTAAAATAACAGTGCCTCATCCGCATCACCATCGAACATTGTAAATGATACCCAATTTTCAGTACAGATTGTAACAAAACGGTCTAATTCATAATTAAATAACAAAAAGGTCTCCTAACCTAACGCTCTGGTCAGACTGCTATCAGACCGACTGCATCCGTGGAGCCGTATTTTTAACTGCATGCAGTTGAAACTGACTGCACGAGCTCAGTGTAAACGGAAAGTGTCGAAATGGAAACATAATGTTACTACTCGTATCAATGTTGCGCCAAAAATTAAAACCCAAAATTGTTGTTATTGTATATACACAATACTACAATAGTAATGACACTTGTCATGCGGAAAAGTGTTAATTAGTGTACTACTGTGCTACGAAATTACTGTGACGTTGTCGCTAACGACCGCGTAAATAACTCCACAAATGTTGTATAGCAAATTATACAGCGCCTCTAGCGGTCACGAGAAGAGACATCATTTTATATAGAAATATTTTAGGCGGTCGCCAGCGAGAACTGTTACTGTAATCTCATGGTAAAGGCACTGATTGCGGAATAATCGAAAACAAATACATGAATGCGCTATATGAATTCAACCATTATTGTGACATTTTGAAATAGAAGATAATTTACTAGGGAAATTTGAATGTACATACTTTACGCAAGATTAAGATGAACATAAACTACTTAAGAATATCACTTGCTGCTTTTGATTCTCGGACTATCGATTATCAGTTGCACAACAAACTGTACACGGCCCATGCAACTACAACCGATTGCATGTTGTTGAATTGCCGACTACAAGCAGTTGACCACTACCACGTTCAACTAGTTGAAATAGTCTTCAACTAGGAAATTAGACTATTTTTCCGGATTTAAATTGCGTATATTTGTTTTTTAAAACAAACCGACTTTTCCTGCAAAGGAGCAGGTCCCATGGTCACGGTTGACGTCAACCGTCAACTGTAAAAAACAAATATACGCGATTTAAAATTATTTCATTTCCTATGTGCAACAATCGCGAAAACTTAAGAACTCGATATAGTTTTCAACTAGTTGAACGTGTTAACTGCACACCTGCAGTCCGTCTTATAGCCTTAGTCTCGATAATCGATATAACAAACACGTTTTGGACTATAATTTAATCAACTTCGTTCTAAAATTCCGTAGTCATTGAACGATTACTAGAGAATACTCACTTTTTAAAGCTGAGTAAGATTTTCGTCTTATACTTGGTTGCGGCGAAAATGTCAGAGAGGAACGATGTTATTGGTTCCCCTTACTAAATACCAATTGGACATTTGTCCGGGGAATTAGTATTATTTACAGCATTTTTAAAGCTATATTGCTGTTTAGCAATAAAACTTGTCAAGACGCAGTAAGCGAAACAAACGAAGATTTCTTGGCATCCATTCAAATTGCACATTGCATACTCTCGGCCTTTCATCAATCGATGTGCATGAAATTTATAATGAGCATAAGGCGCTGCGCAGATGGAGCAATTTTGTGAGACAATTCTATTAAGAGTTTCGGTAATCGACAACTGTTTTTGATTGCCGAAATTCGTGAACAATCAAATTGTCAATTGTCACAACTAGAGACTTGCAAGTTTATACTAAGATTGTCACAAGTTGCCAGTTTCCCCGATCGGTATCGCGTTGAGCGACTGCATTCCCTACCCGTCCCCCGCAGCGTCAGTCTTGCTAATGGCAAGCCATTGATTTCAATATTTTTTTCTAAACCGCGGCATTCATAACCTAAGCCATTCTTTTGCTGCAACTGACAACCGTTAACGGAAACTCGTAAAAAGTTGACAGCTGCGTCAACTACATTCCTACAAGTCGAGGTCCAAATTCTGAGATAATTAAATCTATAGTAAGTCTATGGGAAAAATATTCAATTGTAAGCTATGCAGAACTGAGAAAAAAAGAAAAACGCGCACACTTTTTTGTTACAATCTGTGTAAGTTGACCAAATTGCACAATAACTGAAATAGTTTCATATTTTGAGCTAGAAATATATTTATAATGCAACAGGACATAAAATAGAATACGTATTGTTTTGTTTAAGCAATTAATGTATACTTTTCTTATAATAATAATAATAATATTAATAAGGGGTATTTTCAAATTAATTTTCGGTAGCAGTTTTATTATTTACGTCTTCGAGTATAGTATCATGTAATATTAAATAATATTTCAGAATACTACGTTCGAATATTAAGTATTACTTCATGATAATATTCTAAATTATTTAAATAATAAAAATTGCCTCCGAAATTAGGTAGAAAGAACTAACCTGAAAATTACACAAATATATATTATTTAATGTTATAAATTCTTGGAAATAATTCTTAAATTTAAATTGAAGCTTTTGTCGATGTAGTAAATGCCTTTCTGTCCTGTCAAAAAAGTCCACGCCATTCTGCCCTGTCCACAACATCCCGTTAGCCTGCAGATATGATGCGACGCAGTCTTTTCTGTCTAAACAAATTATTGTCATTGGAAATGAAACTGTACGGAAATACTGCCAGCTTAATACTGCTATTTCTGCCGCCAAGCAGTAATGTAAGCATTACAGTAAAGCACACATTACTGTTTCACATTACGGTTTTAAAGGGTTAGGTGCAGGTGAAATTACACTCACATGGAACTTGTCAACATAGTCACAGGGTGACTTGTGCAGTGGCAGTGCCCATCAGCTCTGTGATTTTTGAGTGGCACTGCAACTGTTATGGGCAGGTGCGTCATCAGGCGCACGACTTGTTCATCTCGTCACTAGGTTTCATAAAAAAAAACTATTTATTCGCATTAAAATCGCGTAAGTGCGCGGCTGTGACCATGAGAAAGTATCTATAAAAAACCTGAAATATATGGTTTCTTTTAAAAAACAAATTATATGCTATTTAAAATCTAGAATAATATTTTCATTTTCAATTTGCAAAAACCCAACAACTTATTCTGTGTTCCTCTTCCATGTCTGCCTTCCTATATACCTTCTATAAGAATTTATAAGTACACTTTAAAAAATACCATATATCATATAAATGCTTTCAGCATATTGTTATAAAAACTGTACATAACAGTGGCGAAGGGGTAATGGCGCGATTCCCGTCGATTCCCTAAGAAATTGAAGCTCAGTATTAGGTAGCATTCGCTTCGTATCCTGCATCACTTGCCTCTTTTAAATATCCACCTTCGCCACTGATAATGATTGATATATAAAAAGATTTTTTAATAGAGTACTTCTGGCCTCCTTGTCATAACTAACTTATTTGTATTTTGGTAACTTTCGAGATATTGACATCTAAAGTAATTCTAAAACGATTGCGTTAATTATGATAACGAGGACAGACTTGGTCAACCTTTAAGTATAGTATAGTTTTCTAGTCCAGGAGCTGTTGACGCATTTAGATGTTTGACCATTCTACTTTTTAATTTAGTTCGCTATTGGGATTATTTTAAGGTGTGTATTTCCTTTAGATTTGAAACTTTTCCCTCTTTTCTTGTAAACATCTTTGCACTATTTAAATGTAGCTTATTATTAATAGCGTGAAGCACTATTTGCATGCATACGTTTACGTTTGACGTGTAATATACATAAAATCTACAACGTAAGTGGCTTTATTTTTGGGGTTATTGGCACGTAATGCCATTTTATAAAATTAACTCTGCACTATTTTTTGTAACATATGAAACACTATTTATTTTAATTGTTGTATTTTTTAAATTCATAATAAATAAAATACATGGATATTTTTTTACAGGCTCGGTGCTTATCTATGAAGGCTTGCATGGACCACTAACATTAGTCACCGGGTTAAATCTCATTTTGTTATAAGCATTGTACGTATGAATATACTAATACATCTTAATGACATTAATATATAATAATTTATCAATGTTCAATGTAGGGATATAACCCAATTGTATGTCGAAGACTCTTTACATCTGGTACTGTCATAAGACTTAAGCAATTTTTAAGCATTTCATCTGGTACTGTCATAAGATTTAAGTAATTACTATACACATTTAATATAATTTAAAAAAGTCGATCAAAATTAATAATAGTAATAACAAGGCTTTCGAAGACTGATAATAGCCAAACCCCAATAATTAACTCATACACCCGCACACAAGAACAAAAACGACATAAGTAAATTTTAAATATTGTGATTTCAAAAACAATTGAAATCACAACACAACACTCAAATTATAAGAAACGTACATCCCGGATAAGCGACAAAGTTAGATTGGAACCCAAGTCACGGATTTTATAAGAACTACCTCTCTAATTTTTCCAACAACACGTCATAAATCTATTTTAATAAATACTTATTTTTTTGAAATATATGGTTTTCAAAATAGATAACTTTAAAAAACCGACCTCCAAAGTTCGTTGAATTACATCTATTTGCCAAGTTTTATTGAAATCGGTTACCGAAAAGTGCGCGAAACTGGTTCATCACCTATATAGTTTGCCATCGATTCATAATTTTTTTTTATAATTTAACTGCCTCCATGGCCGAACGGTTACCATGCCGCACTGACACGCGGTGGTCCCAGGTTCGATTCCCGGGCCGGGAGAAATATTTGTATGGCCTACATTTGTTTCTCGTGAGTTTGGGTGTAATTTGTGGTTGTTTATGTGTGTGTTCATGGCACCAGCAACACAGGATTTCCCTAGTGCGGGACTATGTTGAGTGTGTGCGTTATTATTACATTATTATTATTATTATAAATGCCGGAGTACGTGACGTACGTTTTTATACGTGGCAGGCAGATGACTCCACTCTACCTGATCATCATGCAAAATGAATTCAAACTTGAAGGAACCTAGTGCAGTGTTCATACAATCACTACCCTAACCACCTCCTCCCTATGTGTTATGTAATGTTAACTAAATTTAAAAAATGTTTTTACATTGAAACGATAACAGAAACGCTTATGTTTTTTATGATTTGGTATGATTTGGACAAGACCTTTAAACATTCCTAGTTTTATGTTGGTACCAGGTAATATTATAATTATTCATGCTGTTGTCTCTTGGTGTAACATCATCACAATGAAACTTATCCATACAAGTTAACCATTTATCAAAACAATTTTATCTACAATAGTTCACCTGATGAATCACATCCTAGGTATAGAAACTTTCAAAATTCTTTTATTTTTAAATACATTATTGAAGAGGCTGGGAAGTAAGGGATTGCCGGACAAGTATGAATTACAAGGCCTAACGCCAGCAAAGCCTTGTAATACCAGTCAAGCAATCGCCGTTCCCGCCAACGCACATATTAGTACTTTTCTCAAACAATGTGAGGAAATAATATTAGACTAAAGAAGATGATATAATAGAAGAAGTAAAAAAATATTTATCAATATTAAAAGTAATATTTCACATGTTACGACAATTGCTAGAAGAAATGTTATTTTACCGCCTTTTTCTTTTTTTAAATGTGAGAGGTATCTAATGGTACATATTTTTAATTCTCTCAATTACGTACAGTGGGCAGTTGGCTGTATGAGTTTTTATATTGCTTGTTTATATAGTTAACTTTTAATCAATTGTTAGTAGATAGATTTAGAAGTTTAGAGCAGCTAACGGTAATGGATTTTCATACTTTGCGGGACTTGCCCGGGAAGAAGTCGCAAGATCCATAAATGAGAAAGTTTCCGTGTTCGTTTTTTGAGAGTACCTAATGCAAACATTTCCGAACATGTTTGAGAAAATTGTACGTATTCAAATGTTAAAAATTCTATTTAAAAAAATTATTTGTTTAGCTTAACATGGTGGCTGTATGTTCCAAAGGTTAATGTCCCCTACAACAAATTATATTATTTAGAAAGTAGGTGCTGGCATCGAAAATAAAATACTTTAAAAATATGCTATATATGTATATATATATGGTGTATTTATTACTATATATATAGTTACTTAATACTATGGAAATATTAATTATAGGTGATAACACCAACAAGTGCGGAGTGAGATTATTAATGTTTAGTAAGGACTGTGTAATAGCCTCAAATTCACTTTTATTTATATTATTTTTAATCTTTCGCTGTAATTAACAGATCTTATAGTCCCTTGAAGCCAAAGAAACTTAAGTATTATATCAACATTACTAATATATTAAAATTATGGCGTCAAGAAAAATCCGATTTCAATTGTGCTCTTTCTTGTATCTTGAAAGTTTATGAAGAACCTTAAGTGCCAAATAGTAATTTTTACTACAGAGCGGTTTAAAGATAATGAGGTCGTAATTTGAAATCAATCTTAAGATTAAACATGTTAAATTAAAAACAAGTGACGATAGTACCTGTGTGTATAAACCCAAGTAAGTAAGTCTTTATCATCATTTATTTTTAATTTGCACATTGTTTTGTTAATTGTAAATTTAAGAGTAAATTAAATAAATTAAAAATAACTTCGTATCTTTTACAATGGTAAAGGCAATGGCGTGATTTTTAGTATTCTAAAGCAATGTTTGTAATAACATTTAAATTACAAAATATGAAACTTAAGGTCCTTTACCTCTCACCTACAGATTAAGTCTCCAAAAAATGTTGTCAAACAACATTATCTACACAGGTATAGCTTTATAGATAATATACCTATCGTCTGAGTGCTAGAAAAGTAATGTACTATTTAATTTTAGATAAATATAAAGTATCACAAAAATATAGTAAATTTTCATTTATTACTATTAGCGCTATCAGGAGAATAATCTACTTGGAAGTAGTTTTATCTTTGTCCTGAATAATCAGAATTTTAAAGATAGCTTTGTTTGTTATGAAAGCGAGATGACGTCACGAGAGTATCTCGACAGGCGCTAGCATGATCATCGCACTCACTAAGTGCCCAGTTACACGACGCGAAAGTTTGTTACGTAAGCTTTCACGTACATTAATGGCGAATCTGAATTCTATTCACTAGGCAACAACATTCAAATTCCTCTGAATAATACAACCGAGCGGCCACCGCATAGATCAAAGACAAGCCAGACTCGCTCGCGCGCCCCGGTTAGCTCATTTAAGTTAAAACTTAAGAGCTAAGTGAATAGAGCGTACTTTGCCATGACAGTTAGATGCACGCGGTGGCTGCGCGGCGTGCTCGCGGTGTAATTCGTGTAGAATAAATGCGCCCGAATGCTACATAAGCACTAAATTTGCTCATATAATAATATAATAACAGACATTTATAGTCGATAGACAAGAGAAATATTTGTAAGTAAACTTTCTCGAGTCTTACATTTTCACGAATGTGCTAAACTTTATAGGGAGGATACTTGTTAAACTGTCTTAATCGGTATTTACAGCGGGTGTGTAACGCGTAAAGTACCTTTGTTCGATTTGATTAGATACAACCTCTTTAAATTTGACCTGACTTCAAAGATACACCTGTATGTGCCAGATTTCGATAGAGACTGACAAGCTATTTGTGAACTCTCGCCTGGCTTAGAATTTTTTAAGAACGTCTTGTATTGTCGTCAAAATTAATGAAAGTTTAAAGTTGAAACACTAACTACATTCTTTTTTCTCATTTGAAGTCGGTGAAAAGCACGCCAATAACTTTGTAATGTCATTATTATATCTATTTATTTCGGTCATTGTTGTTTACTTCATAAATATAGTTTTATATTAACGAAAATATGACTGCAATTGAAAGTCTATTGCTTGCTAAACACTAGATATTTTATAGATTTTAAAACTTTTCGTGGTTATTCACTAAACGATTATCACTAATATCAGGTTATATTAAAAATAAGTCATACCGTGGTAAGAAACCTGATATTAGTAATAATCAACTAGATGTTTTGTCGACACAAAACAAGTCAGACTTTTTATAAGTTTAAGCAAGTGTTTAATTAACTTAAATGTTTTAACATGACATTACTTAACAGAAAGGTGCTTTTTAAATATATAGGTAATTTTGTTGTATGCATAGCCACATATGTGTAATAATAGTGCCTAATTTAGTATAAGGCTATAAGCACTGGCTTTTTGCTGTCAAAAGCTTTTTTAATTGGCTATAGGTGAACATTATTTGACCCCAATTTCATAGGATGGTAAGTCAGGATGTAAGGCGTTGATGAACGTGCTTTTGAGTCGTGAGTCGCCTTTTTAAATCACTTAATTTATACTGCGTTCGATTTCATATTCAAGTCCGGTTTGTGTCACACGACGACGCAAAGTGAGTTGTCTGGTGACTCGCGCAATGCGACCGAATTCGGTCGCACTGTGTGACGTGTTTGTGCGAATGGAGTGAGGGATGACGGAAGGAAGCTGAGGGAAACATTTATTGGCATTTTTTTACAAATTCATCTTTATATTCACATCAACTTTCATATAGTATATGAAACTACCCACACTTTCATCTTTCCGTATTGAGTGGATGTTTCCAGAAAAGCTTCATTTTCTTTCATCATCTAATTCTTCATGAATACACACTATTTGTAATGGATCTTTGGAACGTTTAAAAGCAACTGATTATAAATACGTTGTCTGGCGCCACAGCCGAATTTCAGTTGAATGCCGAATGTAGACAACGAGACACAAAAAACGCGACAACTCACAAAATTACGCTCGTCTGTCCTCTCCCTAAAGGTTATTCACACTCGCCTTAAAAAGGTTACTTTAGGTTACTTATTTGTATTTGTCGGTAAAAAACCTGCAAGCAGATAATTCGGTTCCATTACATCAGTTCTAAGGAAAGAAAACCGCTTCTACTATCGTGTACTTAGTAGTCAGCCTTTATTTTTTGTTTTTGTGACAAATTTTAGCAAAGTTTTTCGACCTAAGAGCTGAAGACTTGTATTTTTATATTTTTGTAATATGTTATTTAAGCACATTTAATGTAAGTATACTTTGTTGGCATTGACCAAAACACATTATATGCTTTTTAGCAATGTCACAAAAGCAGAATTATAGTAAAGTATAAATTGTTATAATTATTAATACAAAGATCGAACACTAAGAAAAAAATCCCTCGATCCGGCTGGATTCGAACCAGAGTTTTTAAATTGTTAAGTTTGAGCTCATAAATAAAAGTAGTACCAAACTTTGTCTTACACTTAGGGTCATCGCAAATTGAACTTAAATTGCTCGAGCAACATTATGATTATGCTGGTAACTTTGCATCCACTAGGTACTATATTTCTTGCCGTAGTAGAGTTGTAATTCTCAATTATGTAGAGGTACAGATAACGTATAGCAATGTATATATTCGTAGTATACATTTTCAGAATCTTGTGTCTGTCACTCTTTTCATTTAACTTGTTTAGTACATCATTGCAGGAAAAGGTATTATATAATGCCACAGTTATATGATTTTTTTTAAAAAGGCACTAATTTCTTATCTTTTATCGTGTTGTATATTACAATAAACTATTTCTTTTCGCAATCGCTGTCTCAATGCTTAGAATTTGAAAATGCTCGAGCAGTCTTACGCTTAGTGTTCTCTGGGCTTTTGTAATTTACCTGTTCTTGTTGATATAAGGTACCCTTCTTAAGTGTAAACGTATTATAACTGTCACGCACAAAGTAACAAATGTTCTCGGTCATATTTAAAATAAAATTTGATTCGAACAATTGCATTGTTTTGTCTTATAATAAGTACTCATTTTATACATGTATAAAGTTCTATTTCTCGTTTATAGATACCCAGTGCCAATAAGTACTATGTTAGGCTCTAGACAGACAGATTGCATTTCGGCTGCACTCCGACTGCAAATTTCCAGTTTGAATGCAGTTGGTCCTACTGCATTTGGACTGTATTGAACCGTTTCGTTGGAACTGTACGCCAACTGCACACCGACTGCAATTGGGCTACACGGTCGAAGTGCAGTTCAAATGCAGTTGGACCATCTGCATTTGAACTGCATTCAAATTGCAATTTTGCAGTCGGAGTGCAATTGAAATGCAGTCTGTATGTCTAGAGCCTAAAACATTTTGAACCCTTGTTTGTAATTAAGCTTATTGAATGTCATAATGTCTCACCACCATGATATTCATTTTTTTTTTTGTAAAATTACTCCACAAGTTTGTTATAATCATTTATATTTTGGACCTTATTAAAGTAATTAGCTTGTATTTACAAATCAATTTGCTCAGTAAAACAATCTATATATCTGTACAATTATAACTATGGCCTACTTATCTATGGTATACCTATTACGCAAAAAGCCCTTACCAGTTCAATAAGATCGTCCAGAGATTATTTTATATCTACGATTGTATTGCAGCATGCAGATTCATGTAACGCACGAATGTAAGCCTGTAGCAATTGAAATAAATGTATTTATTTGCTTTTTAATATTGTTTTATTTAAATTTACATATTTACTGTAGAGATTCCATATCCCTAACACAGGTTGGACACTTACGTACTTACTTACCTTCCACTTTAAGTAATAATACATTTGTAGGTACAAAATGCCATTTTGTATTTTTTTCTAATTTGTACCCTACTGGAAGAAATACATAAATTTCTATATGATTAAAGTTTATAGTGTTTACACTCGACGTCGGCTTGTTTCTGCTAAAATTAAAATTATTGAAATTTTTTTGCTCGTCATTCCTTATTGCAATCAAAAGTTCACCTTTACTCTTTAGATATAAGGTAAATATGCAATTGAGGTCATTCGAAGACATTCTATATTTAACTTATCGTACGTTCTTTCTTGAAAACATAAGCATGACGACATCAAAACATCGTAATTGTACTTAACCGATTAGAAATTTACCTTACCAATTTAGATATAATGTATTTATATTGACGTTTATAGTATTTGATGTAGTGTTTCCGTAATACTTGACAAATATAAAGTACTAGCTATTATACGCCGCCCGCAGTCTCGCCAAGTGCTACCTAGATTGTGGCCCACCTCTTTGGAAGCAGTCAAAAAAAGTGCAGATCACGACACATAAATTGAACAATACGCAGAAGTCGATTTTACGGTCTCAACTGAAGTGCGGTTTGAGGTGTAACGAAAGGGGCGAGGCGTAACTGTAGCAGAGAACAAAAAAAGTAACACTATATATAGCAACGTAGCGACGACTGCGCCACAATGTGTCTGCGGCGCTCACGTAATCGCTCCCCGTCTCCGCTGAAAACTGTAGACCTGCGCACACAGCCGCCATTTTGTTCAACTTACTCATTCGCGTACACTACCCTCCTTATTATAAACAACACATTTGGATTTTCGTAACTTTCTAGATATTGGGATAACTTTTTTGTTTTCTTTGAAAAATGTCAATTACGCTGATATTGCTTTAATAAAAGTGAAATAAGACTGAACCTATATAAGATTAGAGGGATTGTAAATCTCGTTTTACTGATTCCAAACATGTTAATTAATTCGAACTTGCCCTTAAAAAGTCGATTACGTTGTTTATAAGAATGGCAGAGGTATAACCAATAACCATGGACCACTAACTCAAGAGCACTGCTAATCTCTATACTACAGATTGTAGCTCTGAAAAAGGTCAAAATCGCGTTTTATATTTAGATGGCGATGATCAAATAGCCTTTGTTTATTTATATTATATAAATATCCGTGGATATCAACTAGTTCCTCTTTAACATGAAATACAAGTAGATAATCAGTTTGTTTCCTTGTAATATTATTATTTTTTACAAGGAAAAAACCGACTACTTACAATTATTGAACATGAGCGAAAAATATTTTCTGAACTTTGACAAATATGCGTATCAATAGATGACATTATAAATTACTGCTTGCTGATATGGGTAGATGGCGCTAATTCTAAACAAAATAAAATAGCCGGCAGTATCTATAAAAATCTGTGAAATAAGCGCCGTTTGTCTTGTTTGTTACCACTAGAAATTAGAGTCATCATCATCATCATATCAGCCGGAAGACGTCCACTGCTGAACATAGGCCTCACCCAAAGGTTGCCAGACTAGCCCGTCAGACGCAATGTGCATCCATCGGATACCCGCCGCCCTTATCAGGTCGAAATCAGAATAGCTTTGATAAATTGTAGCTCGACAATGTAAAACAAATTAGTAACAAAAAGAGCTATTTGGTTTGCCACTCGTCGCGACATCTGATAATAGGTACCACATACTTGACTACACTCACTCGTATCGCGTTTAGCAGTCCTCTTGAGTTACATGGTATAACGTGACGTCTACTTTTAACATGTTTAAAGCGAATTTCATGAATAAGATGCTGGTTTTTTTAATAAGTATGCTTTATTTCTACTGTTTTCTATTTACAAGTATTTTAGTTTTAAGAATTGATGAACTTACCTTAAGAGTTAGGTTTAACCAGTAACACTTGTTTGTATGTTTCTTGTCTATTGCAACGTATAATAATATATCTTTTCTATGTTTCTTGTCTATTGCAACGTATAATAATATATCTAAGCACTATCTTGTCGTGACCAGGGCCTATTACAGACTTGGTTTCGATCGGGGATAGAACTAAGAATGTATGACAACGCGATTTAACAGTTTCGACTTCGAGAATAGTCCCGTCAGTCATCCGTAATGGGAAAACGGCCGTTACTACGGATTTCGTGGTTCAAGAATTGGGCTACAGATTCTAATGGGGACGCATGACGTTGTGACGCTCACAGATTGCAAGTAGTTTTTTTTTTTTTTGGCAAATTTGTCTACATGTTATTAATGGTGACATTTATGCCCCCTTCCAATGCGAAAAAGTAATGAACAGGAAATAGATCAGCGGAGTAAAATATCTTTGTCCTTCCACTAGGAAAGAAATTCACAGATATTTGCCTTCCATAGCGAGCGGGCTTAACGGAGTGAGCTAGGCGGTGGAAAAGTAAAAAATCTGTTTTTGTTTTGTGTAACAAAAATCAGTTTCAATGTTTTAAGACGTAGTAAACGCTGTGAATTTTATTTCTTCCCGTATTCTGCACCCTAATTAACCCTCTAATTTATAATTCATCTCTGAATAAATTAGGGGGATTAATTTATTGTAAGAAAGTTGTAGTCTTATAATCTCGCAAATCGCTTTTCTTCTGATCACGTTAAGTCCCTACACCTATATATTTATTGCTTTTGCGGAGACGGTTCAAAACTAGCGCGCAACACAATCACACGGCTGACTCATCTAAGAGGGCGGGGTAGGCCATAAAATTTTGGACCCTATGGTTTAGGACTATCTCGAAATCAATTAATACGTATGTTTCAATTTCTAAACTTCTTTAAATTATTTTCGGAACTTTTTACGATTTCACATATTACGCTGCATATCACTTTAAAATTAGACGGTTAGCGGTCTAATAACAGCATTTAATTAACATAATATTGGTAACTGATGGCACTTTTCAAATTCGATGTCGGCATGTCAAATTTACTCAAATAGTTGACTCTTGTAATTTTTTGTGTCAATATCATTCCATTTTCCTCAAAATATCCATTTTGCAAATCAGTTTCCATCCAGAAGAATATTACAATTCTGTCAACTTCGATGTCGAGTAAGAATTTGTACAGACCCTTGTACATTGGCCCCTTTATGACGTTTATCTGCAAAAGTATATTAATATTAGATTTATATACTTGGCCTGGCAATAACAAACCCAATACAATATTTACCTACTTGTCAACCAGGTGTAAGGTTCGTATGCATGCATGTAGTACGATAATTTACAATCACATTAGGGATCAATTATGTCGACACTGGTTACATATTTGTATAGGTACTAATGAAAAGTGTAAGCCAGGATTCTAAGTAATAATTATCTTTACTAAAGCCGGATTTACACTGGTCTGACGTATCGTGTCTTGACGCGTCAGAACGGTATCGGTTTCATCTTTCATACATTTAATTTTTTTTATTTTTTTTTATTTGTTTATATCAGGTAACAAAGACCCATGTATACATACCTTATAGACTAACATACATAACAATATAAAAACAAAATACACCTATATTATATATACCTTAAAACAAACATACATACAATATAATAATAAAAACTAATCTACACGATTTCCCTTATCGGCGACGTGTGGCGCAATCTGGTGTCAGGTAACGCGGAATCGCCGATATATGACACCCTTCGGCCAAAATTCCTCTTTCATGAAGGTCGAAAGATGTTCGGTCGGTATTCTCACCACAAACGAATTAAAGTTCACGTTGCGGCGAGACTCCAACCGCTCGACCCTCAGGGTGTATTTGGTTTTATGCCTGATATACTCCACTATCTCCTCAGACTTCGTGGAGTAATGCAGCCGCGACAGGTACATCAACGTCGTCGGTACGGCCGGACGCAGCAGGAAGTTCGGTCCTGTCGGAGCTGTGCCACACAGGTTACGGCTGGTGGGCTTCCTCTTCACCACCTTTGTGAAGCCATCCTCGTCGCACTGGACCTTCTGCCTCTGTGGTTTTGCAACTTCAGAGACAGGCACACGGAAATTGGTTTTATCCTTAGCCGATTGCCGCCGCTCGAATTTCGAATTGCGGCATATGCACGTGTCGGGGTTGACGTGCACACGCGTGACATTTCCACCGAGGCAGAGGGGCGGGCAGCGGGGCGCGGCGCATCATGCGCGGTGGCAGCAACGAATGGTGACGCATTGTGTGCCGACTCGAAACTACTGACCGAGGCATTCAGCGCTGCTCCGCGTCGTGTGTTTACATTAGAGGCTTCTGGTGACCTACATACCGAAACAGCATTGCTTAATAACGCAACTTGGGTACGCAGCTCACTTATGATGTTATCCGAAGCCTCTAATTTACACTGTACTTCGGCTAGACTAGACTTCAGGGACGTAATGTCCTTCAGCAGCTTAGTAACATCGACGTGGTCGAACGTGACGGGGGGCAGCTTGTGCAGCTCCTTCGCCACGAATGTAGGCACGTCGTCCGGGTCAGTCTCCTTCAGCAGCGTGATTATATCTTGGAGACTCTTCGCGCCTCCATCCCTCCGGCGAAATGGCATCTCTTCGGCTTTACCGAGACGCTGGAAAATCAGCATCTTGCCACTGCAAATCTCATCTTCACTGAAATTTGATTTGCATATCTGCACTATGCTGACTTCATCCATGGTGTCGATAGCGTGTATAATGAACGCCAGGAGCTCATTGGCAATGAGTTGCTGGGAACTCATTGTCAACTACGCGCAGCGGCTCGTGCCGCTCGAAACGCGAGTTAGGTGTAATTAACTCACTTCGTCGTGACACGTCCGTTTCCGAACGCGCATTGCTATGGACTGATTTTGATGCATTAATATGGTTAGATTTAAGTGTGTCGCAATCTGACGTGACGGTTTGTGTTGTGTGTATGAAACCGAGACCGTTCTGACGCGTCACGACACGACACGTCAGACAAATGTAAATCCGGCTTCAGTATTATGATAATTGTCGCGGTAATTATCCTAATAAATATACCTTGATTATTTCTTAAATAAATTGAAACAGCAAAATGCTAACAATATCGTGTTATAATGTGTTTGTATCAGGGGGTCCCGTTCTCCGTCCGAAACAATTACCACGACCAAATTAAAAGGAGCTTGATGCGAATGAAGCTTCATACTTGACATTGTCTGTTGATCTGGTCGAGTATTACTTATTTGACAGTAATTGTTTCGGACAGATATCGGACGGCGTCAATGTCAATCTCAAAAGTCATAAACCAAATCGTTTTCCCAAATATTTTTCTTTCTGTTTATTTAGTATTCTCACTGTTTGTAATTTTTAATCAAAAATTAAAGAGACAAAACTATGAACAATTTTGTAAGATATAATAATATAAGATAATTATTATGACAATTATCAAAGGAAACAAGAATCTTGATAGTTTCGAACTCAGCTTTAAAGATTATTGTCTAGGTGCTTAAGTCTAGTCTACTAGACTGACATAAATAAGACTAATCCAATACAAGCCAGATGGCCCTTGATAGTATTAAAACCAACCTCGATACTAGGTTCATGTAGCCCAACAACGGCCTTCAAAGGCTTTGGAAATAAGAAATTCGTCGGTGATGATGCCACGCCTTCCGCCTTGAATGTAAATTTTAAAAATATCTCGTCTTTGTTTTTTGTCCACAGAGCTAATGATATATTTTGTTTTGTCGAACTCAGGACAGCAGCACTCGCTGGGTAAGCAGTTGTTATTATAGGCGTCAAACTTGTCCAATTGTATACGTCCACTGTAATCTCGCCGTTTTCGATCGAGACGAATCTATCGTTCAAGAGGTATACGTTTACATCGCCAGAGGCAAGTAGTCTTGGAGAAACCAATACTGGTGCGAAAAACGACTGCGCAAAATAATGCAGCATTTTCCAATTGTTTCCGTATTCTGCAAGAACACAGAAGAAGAAAGTTTACATTTTTAGCTTATAACCGATAGAACAGCTTGTAGGTTTCTTGATGATGAGAGAGAGATGAGCTTTACTTCTTTTAAATAGCATTGATTTGAGAAGTATTAATAAAGTCAGTTTGTAAATTTATCATCTCATTGTTAAACATATTTTCATTACCATTGCTTGTAAGTTGTAGTATAACGTATTGTAAACCTTTGCAGTATTTTCATCTTACGGCTCTAGGGCGGTAATGGATTTGTTTTTAAATTTCTGCGCCCCCCACTGGGCTCCAAAAGAGCAAAGAATACCTAGTGGCCGCCTAATTCGTGTCACGACCTCAAACTGCTGAGTTTTTTATTTTATTTATTAAAACTAATAAAAATACAGTCTGCTTTATTTTATTTGTCATTTTTAAGACATACTCATTGATACCATTGCATACCTACATAAATTTAAAATCTTTTTTGTTTTATTATTACCTACTTGAAGTCAAAGCTCGTGAAGTTAAATACTCAAAAAAAAACATTAATTATTCTCTTTAAGACTTACTTGGTACTTAGTGTAAAGACTTTTTATGATATGTTTAAAATTTTTGTAATATGAATGAACCAATCATCTTTTATTTGTATATAAGATCATTGGAATGAACTATAACGTTGTTAAATCTAATTTTCCTTTTTTTAACTTCCTCTCATGTGTGATGAAAAACATTATACGTAGGTATGCCAGGACAAGCTCCATATCTTTCTTGGTTACTTTTGATTATAGTGACCCTCCGTACCTACCCTGAGGGCTTACGAGATGGGCACTATAACCTGTGCACGCACAGAAACCTTATAAGTTCAGGTTCTGACCTCCGATCAGCCAGTGTACAGGGTTGTGTGTGACAGGGTTGTCACTTGACTTCATCCGGTTCTTCGAGAGGCTAGTGCCTCGGGTGAGCCGCCCCGGGAGCATGTACAGTACCCTCCCTATTTACCAGATAGGAACCGGAGCTGTAGACACGCTCACTTCCCGTTGCGCATTGCATAACTAGCAGTTGCCACCGCTAAACTGTCGACCCTGAGTCCACTACCAAATCTCCTCATTGGTGACGGAGCTGTAAGGCACGCTCACTTCCCGACGCCGAAAACCGACGTCTCTCCAGTTCCCAATAACCTAAGCGGCTAGAGGGACGGGAGGATATCTAGCTTATCCTCTACTAGCTCTCCGAGCTAGTCCCGGAGATGCCAGTCGCAGCGTCCTGCGACAATGTCCGGACATAAATTCCAACTTAAAAGGCAACTCACGTGTCCCGCGCGTCTCCTCGCTTCAGGCCCTCAACTAGACCGCTACTAAGAGGCGTTAGCTGCTCACGAGATAGACGCCCCGGAAACATGCAAAACCGGGGCAGACAAACATGTCCGTCTCTGCAGCTAACCACAAACCCCAGCGAGTCCATACCCAAGTCCGATTCCGCCTGAGACGCCCGCAAAGGGCTATCACTGGCGGAGGGCTTGACCCGGACGCCCGCTATACCCTGGTCTTACCGTCGAGCCTGTAGTCTCTCCGGAAAACCCTATCTCTCGGGTCGATAGATAGGGACAGGTATGCCCGGACAACTATTTACAAATGTTCGGGCCATTAAAGCCCTTACCATCGGCTGGGGTTTTGAATGGCCCTCTCTGTAATTGCCTACTTGCCGCCGTGTAACACAATGTACTATACGAGTAACTTTACCTGAAAGATTTAATCCGCATCCTTGCAACGTACCCAGTAGGTAGGTAGGTACAATATTCTATAGTATCTACCACTGATGTAGAGTTATCTTTAAGATAACTGTTTAAATACATATTTTTTTACCGATTCCAGACCACGAAGGTGCTTGCCATACATCATTCAGTTGCCAATACAGTGCGCCCATTGTGTACCAATCGGCTTGACACTGTCTGTAAAACTCTGTTTCTGTCTTGATCGCCATTGCTTGTGTTATCTGTAAAGCAAATTAAGTGAGGAAAATTCCTCGGATGTTTTTGTTTTCTATAAAGTCAAACATTATCATTATACAAGTGAATATTTATCTCAAATAATATACAAGATTATCTATTTCATTCAAGTGTCATTGATTGACAGACTCACCTGACTATAATATACCAACTTCTTAAAATACTCAAAGTCTTCATCATAACGATGTTGTGATACTTGATGTTTGTATAGAGGACGGTCAATTACCTCATGATTACCTTTTTCCAACTTCAAATGCCTCTTGATTTGGAATAAAATGTATGCGTAACCAAAAGGACTGTGCTGTCTATGTTCTGAATATTCACTCTTAAGCTTTAAATCGTCTATATTTTTCGTCGCTGTTTTAATAGTCTTTATTGATGGTAATGACTGAAATCCATATTCCGAAGCGAACCTCGTCATAGGGTATATATTCGCATCCCAATTATCTGCCATATAGTTGTAATAATGTGTGTCCCCATAATGAGGATCATATGGATTACTTGCCACGTAGCCTTCTTTTTCAGATTCTAAACCATTTGTAGGACTAGATACTATGTAACGCCTTCCAGGATCAAGTTCTTCAACAATGGGTTTAATAGTATCCACGTACAATTTGATGTAATCAGATTTATAGACATTGAAGTTTTCGTCGGTTTGATACCAATTTCCTCTCAAGGCGGCTTCATTTTCATTATTTCCTGCCCAGATTGCGACTGAAGGATGATACTGAATCCTTAGAACGTTTTGATATATTTCTGTCTTTACTGATCTGGAATTACATATTCACCAGATTCACTTAAAGATATTACATAGGTAATAATATTTTAAATCCAATAGGTGAAGCTTCATTGTAACTTGAATTACTCACTCGAGAAACTCAGGATCAGTAGGATACATAGAACAAGCGAAGGGGAAATCTTGCCAAATAAGAATGCCCAATCGATCACAAAGTTTGTAGAAAAATTCCCATTCATACAGCCCTCCTCCCCAGACTCTAAGCATGTTCATGTGCGCATCGCGAGCCGAAGTCAGAAGTCCGACAACTGAAATGAAAAATATAAAAAATTATTAGTTAATTAAAAATAAATTTAATATAAATGTTAATTATGTTCCATGTTTTATAGTAGACTCCGCGATTGCGTGACTTCAACAAATACAAAACACTTTAAGAGCGCAAACCGGCGGGTAGCGAGGCAGACGACATTAAATTTATCAATGTACCTATATATTATGCTATTTCAATTGAAATAAGGTATAAATTCAGATCTCAGAGCATTGCGACCAACCTTGGAGCATCGCGGCGCATTTCTCTCTGGGGAATTGAAGAGCACGCTATAGAACACCGCGGTCAGCGGCGCCGGTATGCGACGGAATCTACCGACATGCGCCGGAGTCTGCATGAATACGATGGGGTTTGTTCGACTGCGTGGTCGCTAGTGGAACGAACAGCTGACCGCGGCATTCCAACGGAATCTGCGATACGCTGGCGGACGCTCGTTGTATCGTAACGGATATCCCTGATCAGTATGCGTTGACGGGCATACAATCCTCTTCGATGCCCTCCTCCGCCGTCCACCAGTTTGCACTGGTCCTTATTTACTTATTTTATATTTTATTACTATTAAAAGAAAAAGCTACCTTGTATATGTACAAAGGGGGCTAACGATTAGTAGGTACTAAGATCTCGTTGATGATGAGATGAGGAATGTGTAAGATAAATATATAAATCTCACTTTCAATGAGCCTTGCATTTGGTATGTAGTCATACAAGACACTGTGCTATATTACAATTGAATTAAGGCATACATTGCAATAGGTACTCTGAGACCGATTTCGGAGCATCGCAGGGCATTTGCGTCTAAGAGCTTTGAAATTTATACCTTTTTTTCAATTAGTAACATCAAATAAGCATTGATAAATTTAACTTGCTAGTTAGAGATCGTTGAAATTTTGGTGCAAAATAATTTTCTTTTTACCTGTACTAAAGTTGGCACTAAGTTCAGGAAGAATATTCGATGGTATCCAATTAGAGCCTTTCATGAATAAAGGGTAGCCATTCACTTTAAAGTAAAATGTAAGGCCTTTGCCTGCTGTTGTATTGCCTGAAAAATAGAAACCGGTTACTTTACCGTTGTTTTTTTAGTTTATTTATAGGCTATTTATTATTTTTTTATATTCGAAAGAAAAAACATAATCATTTGCGAAAACACTACAAATATCACCTACACTTTCGCTATTTCTAGTCGCTTAAAAACTAAAACGTACTAAGTTTATTGGAAGCATTCTCTTCAATAAGTTCGACAGTACGGAATCCAATATTTATTTGCTTGTAATGTTCTTCATTGCCAAAGCTATTGACGGACACTTTCAGAGGGTAGAGCGGTTGATCCCCATATCCATTCGGCCACCATGTTCTCACCACATTCTTTGAACACAACATGTTATTTATAAGACGAAAAAAGGCTAGCTCAAAAGAGCTAAGTGTACGATATCGTACATATCCTATTCCAGCATGCATAAACGGATAGATGCAATTTTATTTTATTTTATACGTATGTAGATATGCATACAACCATGAAAATTATTGTCATTGTGAGAAATCGAATGGAGCGACTTAAGAAAGTCATTCATGTAATCAATCAAATCAATAAAAAAAAAACTAAAAAGCGTCACTACCTGGCTAATAGTCATATTGAGTTCAAGTTCAAGAGTTCTTTTATCATTGATCGGTATTTGCTCATATTTGGCAATAGTAATCTTTTGAGGACCATCCACAGTCAATTCAAGGTTAACACGTCCTGCCCAAAAACTCTTGGCCTTATTAACTTCTAAATAAACTTTTACTTTCAAATTCCAATGTTGATCAGACTTTTCTGTATGTGTTGTTATTGATCTTATTATAGCATAATTGAAGTACTCGATGACTACGGGTTTCCTGAAATATTGGGACAATACAGAATAGCGACTCTTTAGGCACAAATATGTTTACGAGCATTTTCTGTAAGATTTTCCAAAAACACCCTACCTAACCTAATTTTTAGTAGCAATAGAGTTTTTTGGGAAATAGTTAGTTCAGGGAAGTACTGCCACCAGAGATGGGCAGTGGATTAAAACTCAATCAGCCCGTCTAGGCTTTAACCCCGGTTAACGCCCTACCTAACCTAATTTTTAGTAGCAGAACAGTTCCTTGTGCAATAGTTTGTTCAGGGAAGTACTGCCACCAGAGATAGGCAGTGTGTTAAAACCCAATCAACTCGCCTAAGCTTGAACCTCGGTTAAAGCCTAGGCGGGTTGATTGGGTTTTATATTTAAAGCGCCGGGGGTCGACCTATTTGTGCCCAAAATCGTGGGTAGAAACGGCAAACATTGAATCCGGTATAATTCCATACTTTTTAGAAATTTCGATGCAAAAAATCTTTTTTAGACGAAAAAGGGGCAACTCGACACAATATCCACTTTGCAATCCTGTGGATTCTCACTACTAAGTATGCACATTACGATTTGAATTTTAAGAAGATCACTTCAAGTGCCTCTGATCTAACGATTTTTTGCATCTATTTATTTCAATACGATTTTCAAACGAATCGATTTAAACCCGACGCTAACAAAGTACCGGGTTAAACACCGGGCACTTGCCCATCTCTACTTTAACTATTTATGTCGTCGAGCATTAATGCGAACATTACTGTGTTCCGGTTTTGAAGGGTAAGGGCAGGTATCTACTGGTAAAATTACAGGCACGTGGGACTTTGTTAACTTATGTTTCAGGAAGATGCGCGCAATGGCAATGCCCCTCAGATATTCGCAATTTAAAGTTCGCTTACCACTCGCGCATGAACTGTTCGTCCCGTCACTAAATTTTATCAGTGCCTGTTTATATCAAAGAATATGAAGTAGTTTACACCTTAGTGACATCTAGTAATCATTAATTGATATTTTAATCTTTTAGTAAGCCCTTTCCGTAACTCTATCTACGCTGACAAACTGTCGCACAGTAGGCATTCCCTAAAGATAGATTTACCTATAAGCACAGCTTTACATGCAGCGTTAGCAAAGTCAGTAACAGTGCTCGAATCTTCAACGTCGTAATAAAAGATCTAAAGATGACGTACCATAGGCCGATTGATGGAAAAGCAGGTCCCCAATCCCAACTAAATGAGGCCTGCATTTTCCTCAGCTGATTAACGTGGCATTCCCCGTTATAAACATCGGGGACACAAATTGGTGGCGAGAAGTACTTTTGGGACCGTTTTTTTGCAGCTTCCACGGGTGATTGGAAAACTACTTTTAAAATGTTCTCACCTACCTGGAAATTAGCACAAATTTGTGATTATAAATCCATTCAAGAATATCCTGAGAACAGTAAGCTTTATATATTTAAATGAATAAAATTATAAAAAATAAAATCATTTATTGCAGACATTTATAGTCCATTTTGTTAGTACACTTACAAGCTATACCTATATCCCACCTATTTTATTCATTTTAAGAACATCATGTTTTCTATTCTTTATGGTTTTCCTCGCGTCCGTTTCCTAACCTTTTACTTTGATGTTGGCACAAAGTATTCTAGTGCCATTGATTAAAAATAACTCTGTTTAGGAAACTTTTTAAGTTAATTTTTTATTACATTGCCCCGCACTAGTGAAACCCTGTGTCGCGGCTACCATGGATGTGTCCATGGACGAAAGTGAAATATAAAATAAACTTCCGCCTAAAATTAGGAATTGTAGTAAATGTAGAGAAATTAAAACTTCATTATTTAAAACTCGATGAACGATATGTCGTTCTTTAATATAACAGATTTCTTATGAAATTATTGTTTTTAATCTGAATTGTAATTTATTTATCATTATATTTCATTATTTTATTTTTGTAAGATTGAGACATGACATGTATATAAATTATTGAAAATTCGTTCTTGTGAAACTTATATGGCCCGTGTACGGAGTATGTATCACAAAGAAATAAATGAATTTAAAAGTTTCAGCTAAGATAGGGTTCCAGTAATAAAGTCAATTTTATCTTGTAGAACTTAAACTATCATACGCCCGAAATCAGAAACTTACGTTTCGGAATGTTTGCTTAGAGAATACACCTACCGTGCCAAAACCTAGTGTAAAATTTAATAGAGGTAGTTGAGAGTCTTATATAGATGGAATGTGAACTAAGTACCTACTTATTACTGCAAATACTAATAATGGAGCTAGAGAGGAAGCTATACGTACCTGAAGTAGGTTTTTAATATCAAATACATATCTCACGAACATGTTATTCGTGGAACCAACCGGATGGTCATTGAGCTCGATAAACGCAATAGTGTCGACCCCATGAAGCACCAAATTCGTGACTCCATAGTTGAGCTGGTCAGGTGTGACCGTGAACTGGCCTTCGTAAGTCCAAGAGTCGTAGGCCACCCATCTTGTGAGGACGTCATTAAACCGATACAGGATGTCGCCAATAATTCCCGCATTATGGAGATCTGTATACACGCCGCCCGGCGCTTTACCTGGTACATTTATTGCTGGAAAAAGACAAAAAATAGACAAGCTTCATTTAATTTTATTTTTTTATGACGGATGAGCAGGTTACGTGATTAATAAAATTGTATGTGTTCTTTTGTTTATTATGTTTTATGTTGTTTCCGATTGTTTTACACCTACAATAGATGAAATCAGTCGATCATTTCCATTTTATTTGAATGAAACAAACCAAATAACATTTATTAGTGGTACCCATTAGTCTAATAATTTAAAAATGTATTTCTATATCCAGGGCTGATTTTGTACTTGGGTGTCTGAATTGATGCTACTTCTATAACATTTGTTTGTACTAACCCATATCCTAGCAATATTACAGTTACTACAGGGTATAATAAAAAGCTGCAAATTTCCTTTTGTAGTTGTCTGGCACATATACTACATATGATATACTTATGACAACAATCAACTACAATAATAAAAAAATAACGATTGCAGACGAAACAAATTCCACGCACATGTATATGTACGAATTAGTTCATTCACTTTCATTTATTCTCTCATAATAAAATGAGAAAATAAATGAAAGAAGGCTGACAGAACAGATTTATGAGGCGTTAATGAGCGGAAAAGTTGGTAATGACCAACTAAAGCGATGTCCAAATTAAAGATGTCCTAAAGAAAGGCCAGTTTAAGAGTACCGTTAACTGTCGAGCTGTATGAAAGCTCTTGTGTTGATGAGACGAAAGATGTCTGCCAGGATTGTAACAAGTGGAAAGCTGTTATTTCTACCTATCCCGAGTGGAAAAGGAAGTGAAGTTTATGCATGTATGTACTTTATAGCTGAAATATGGTTGGACCTTTTTGAAAAACCCTGTTATTATTTGATTATGCAGTTATACAATCATTTACAGGAAAAAACGAGTACCTACGATTTTTTCTAGTACTTCATTTTTTGTAGTACTTTATTAATTCAACAAAGTTAAAAAACATTACTAAGATTAAAAAACTTTTGGTACGAAAGGCTAATTCGTGCGCGTGCGCGTGCGTGTGTGTATAGTAACGGGACATGAGCTTGGTGGTAAGTGACACGCCTGTCAATAGCACGTACAGTGCCACTCAGATCTTTAAATCGCAAAGAACTGAGGGATACTGCGCCTGTCAAGACATCAGTTGACAAGTTCCGTGTGCCTGTAATTTCACCACCCTCAGGGCGCATTTATTCGACACGAATTTCATCCCGTGCGGCCGCCGAGCGGAATCCGCGTGCATCTAACTGTCGTCGCAAAATACGCTCTATTATTTAGCTATTACGTTTTAACTTAAATGAACATCCCGGCCACGCGGGCGACTCTGGCTTGAATTTGGTTTACGGCCCGCGCGATTGAATACAACCGCGCAGTAATGAATAATAATTCAGATGAATTTAAAGGATGTGGCCTAGTAAATAGAATTCAGGTTCGCGATTAAGTACTTTCCGTAAGGAAAAGACTTATCATTACATCAATAATTTCAACAGGTCTAGTCCCCCGATGATGGAAAAGGGCAGGCGGAATCAAATTATGCAATTTCATCGCACACTCCCCGGATATAATCATGTACAATACCGATAAGCAGGCAACTTTACGTAAGTGTTCAAGGCTCTGCAGCTTCGCATCTACTAATTCCGAGTCACCTATAAGCCTCTTGGCACACTTGTCAATTGAATTCAAGGTGGCCAATTGGTATGTAGCAGAGCCATCCTATAAGTGGCAGCAGTACCCCATACACAACCGGACTTGTGCTTGACACAGCTGAAGTAACTATCCCGGTATGAAAGCTGTTCCAATGAGGAGATTTGGTAGTGGACAGAGTCGACGGCTTAGCTGGGGCAACGGGAAGTGAGCGTGCCCTCAGCTCCGGTATCTATCTGGAAAATAGGGAGTGACAACCATGTACACTGGCTGATCTGGGATCAGAACCTGAACTTATAAGATTTCTGTGCGTGCACAGGTTATAGTGCCCTTCTCGTATGCCCTCAGGGTAGGTAGGGATATGATATGATAAGCTACATATTATAGTGACCCATAATATGTAGCTTATCATTGGTAAACACTGAAATATATTATCTGTCTGCCCAGCTCATTCCCAATACATATAGACTGTCAAGTCTGTCCACGGTACTACGGTACTGATACTCTTTGACAAAATTCGACAATAAAACAAAACACTATCACTATTGATAGTGTTTTATTTGGAACACGTAGCTGTCTGAAATTTTTTCGCAAGAAATCATTAGTTTACGGTGGTCATTTTTCAAATTTCACACGTTTTGTGTTACCTGCCAATATTACTTAAGCAATGTACACAAAGGTTTCTTATGTATTCTTAAGCATATACTTAGAACCTCTTTTATAAGATTTGAACAATTGTAAAGAAAAGTTTTAGGCGGCCATTTATTGCAACAGGAAAGGGTTATTATGTTTCGTTTTGGATACTCATAATCTCAAAACCGTACCAAAATAACTTGAAAGTATATTTTTCTAATAACAAATATTTTATATTTACATACCTATTTAATATACTATAACAGTCACCTAATAAATAAAGCAACAACGAGCTCCTTTATGAGACTTAGTCTAAAATGTTACGTAGAGCGTGTATACTTAGCTAGCGTCCACGTCCAGTAATTATGAATAATCGAAAAAATGTATCGTTACCGTTACTAATCCATTAAAAGTAATTAACGTTTATATAGTTGTTTAGTTAAAAGTAGAAAGAAATAATGAAATTTGCGTTAAATGCAACATACGTGACTTTACACATAATTTCGATAAGGATAAATGCAATTAACTGTACCTAAATTATACGCAAATAATTAACTAGCTGCTTTTTGTACATAAATATCAAACTATCGGGAATTTTGAAACCTTAACTATAATAATTTACTTACTTTTTATTAATAAATATTTAAGCCGTCGCTCTACCAACAATTAATCCTAAAGAATAACCTCATTTTACGTATTATTAACATTCTGCCTTTACGGTTATACCTAGTAAATCTTTAAATTCGGTAAAGATAGTGGTTTAGTGAATAATAAAGAGTCTTACAATCAATATTTTTCTTCCACTTTGTCATAAATCAACGTATCTTTACTAATATAAAAGCTTAAATTTTTAAATAAACCAGAATATAAAATATTATTTCTAAATGACAACCAATGTATGTAAACCAACAATTAAACTTACATCCATTCTTATTTATAAGTGTCCATTGAACGACCTTTTGATTATCAATCGAACAATCTATTCTGACACCAAATAATAATACTAAAATTAATAACGTAAACATCTTCACACACTGGCAATTCACCACATTTTTTGCGCTATTTATAACAAAAATCTAAAAAATAGATCACTTGAACTTGTATAAACTCATTCGATAACCGACAACGAGTGCCTACCATTCGCATCAGCGTATCAATTCAAACTAATGCTGCGCTTGCACCTTATTACTATATCGATAAGAGACATTTCTTTATTTTTTCTTGTTTATATTTCTCTCTTTTAATACCAACAATTCGTAAAAAAACTTAAATGTTTTGATTTCGATGTTATAAATTTACTTCATTAAAACGGTGATACACATTTGCAAAGAACTAAAAACAAAGAACCGAGGCATACATTAATTCAAACGAGTATCTCAACCCGGTTTTAGTTTTGATATTTTTACTATTAAAGGTTTCATTCATGGTTCTCATTAGTAACTCAATCATCTTATGTTTGCATGTTGTTTTATATATTTGTTTTTCGTATAAATATACTCCTCATATGGTCTAGAAAATACAGCTAGTTAAAATTCATACCATCATCGTAAATGCTCTGCTAGATTGAGCAGGTATATTTCAAGTAGACAAGCCAGTTAACGATACATTAACTACTCCTCGAGGGTACTACACGACAACTTCAATAAGTGAGAAGAAAGAGAAAATAATTTTTCACTCACTAGCTCCGAAAGGCTTTCTTTCTCATTAGAATCCAGCGCGCAAAAGCGTTATTGAAATTCGAACGTGACGATATCGTTGTCAATTTAATGTCGACAATAATAAGAATAATATGTATATACCAAAGGATTTATATTACATAAATAACGACACGACACGAGTACGACAAACCTCGTAGTTGAACGTGTCATTATGTTTTTTTCTCATCGAAAGAAAAGGTTAGGTGCGCCACCGTTCATCGATGAACGATTCTTATTATTGTTGATATTAAATTGACAACGATAACTAATTTTGTTTATTAGAACTGATTTGTTAAAGTTCAACTGTTTTTCTTTCATCTACCGATTTCCTCGCTATAGTGAGTTGAAAAGTTGTGTGTGTCGCTCGGCAGCAAAGTTATTTTGCGTCTCGTGCATTTAAACCCTCGCTACGCCTAGGATTCGATTTTTGAACCACGAGCGAAGTGCCTTCGCTTGCTCAGGTTTTCATACAAGCACTCGCTTCAAATAACTACTTTGCAGCCTTGCATAACAAGTAAATATTACTTATTTCTCTCCACTCGTCATTTGTAATGCAAAATCTTTTCAGATCTGCATGCAGTTCGGTAAGCTTGTCTTAGTGGAAAAGTTGAATTTAAATCAAGTATGTTAAAAGTGCAGTCTGTACTTATATACTACTGATACCATATCGATACATTGTGTACATCACTAAAAGTTGACCATACACTGATAATATGAGGAACTTTAGTAGGTATGAATGTCTTCTTTGTCATCGTGTTGCACTGTATTTTTTACATTTGTTTATGAAACGTAACAAATCCCAAATACGGAACAGTTGAGCTATCTTATTTTAAATCACATAAAGTACTGGTTCACAATGACGCGCATGGTTACATTAAAAAAAAATATCATCGGTGGTATTAAGCATTCTTCACATTAAAAATAACATTTTTTTATTGAAATAAAATTGTTGCATTTTGAAAGAAAGAAAGTTGCTTCTACTGTCAATAGAATGTTTTGATAGATAGATAATTAAAACGTTTATCAACACAAATCACATTAACAAATACATACATAGTTATATGATGACGGTACCCTAAAATCCGAGATGTCGAAAGATGGT